CACATCATAGTAAAATAAATAGATATCTCGTTACACTCAGAATCTAAAGTTGGTGCATCAACTAATTAAAATTATCTTTCAAAAAAAATTCTACACTCTATACAAGGTGTCCTACAGTGTTATCCTTATGCTAATAAGTAATAACTATCAATAATTTTTTTTCAATTGGGTTTGTGCGAGATCGATAATGGTCTTAAAAAATGTGTATAATGCAATTATTAGACTCTCATTTAGTCTATTACTATGCAAATTCTCAGAAGTAATCATGTTTGCTAAGCCGGAGAGCCGGACAATCACCAGTTATCCCAACTTCTTATAGCATCATTATCAACTAAATTTCGCTAAGAATCGTTTTTTCATTAGCAATGGATAAACCATTGATAATGGTTTATAATTGCTTACGGATATACATTAAAGTCCTTTCTGTATCCTACCTTCCCAATTTCCTACCTACAACAGTAACTACACCCACTATACGCTTTGGTTCAGTAACCCCAGATATAGCTGTAATTAATGCAGGAGTACTCAAAGGGACTATATTTTCACTTATAATATTGTCCAACATTTATGTTACAGACTAACCCATAACACAAAATAGTCATGTTGCCGATTATGCCGACGATAATGTAATTTTATCAATATACCTACAACGATCCAATTATAGCCTCCACTAATTTACAGTCCCATTTAAATCTACAATCTAAATAGTACAATAAATGGGTATGTAAAATTAAATCATAATAAATCTGTCCATACGAAATTTACTCTTAGATATGGTTTTTGTCCAAATATTAATGCTAATAATATACGATAAACCTATCCTGTCTCTTGATACTGTAAAATATTTATGTTTAATAGGTAACATAGTATTGGTGACTAACATCAGCAATGTCTTGAATCTCGGTCTTGAAAAAACTACATTTAACATTATTCCAGACAGTGATTTTATTATTATATAAATATAGCTTTAGTTGCCGTTATGATTACTTGTTTCTTGGTGTTTAGTTTAGGGATTTAGGTCCTTAATCTGGCTAAACTAAAAGCGTATCAGGAGCCTATAGATACGGGAGGATTTCGATCTGATCTACTCTCATTGCCTTTTTGTTTTTACATAATGTACAGTGTTCACAATTTGTATGTAAATTTTAAAAAAACTTTATACAAATTGTGTACATTATGAGAAAATAAAAAAGTAATAATCCATCTATAGTTATGTGTAAACGCCACTGCTTGATATAGTACGTACTAGGTATAGTATCATTGATTATAACTATTAATACAAATTATTGTAATAAAACAAAGTTTCTTTGATCAAAACTAGAATGTATATTGTATATAATCATACACTCATATGAACAAAAATAATAATATTAACAACATTAAAAAAAAAGGATTTTTTAAGATTATTTCTATCAAAAATAAGTACTTATACCACATACCTACCTAAATATTGTGTTTAAATAATAAAACATAAATTACAATATTTTACTAAAGGCATTGACTATTCCGTTTTCCGTAGGTACTAATTATTGTTAATTATATAATGAACTCGAGTTTAGCAATCACGTAATATGGGCTATTTACTATTATAATACTATGTCCTCCGGCATGCGCAATGTGCACGTAGCACGAACACCTCTAATATATTTAAAAATGCAAAATACCGAAAGGGTATCTACAAAGATTCGAATTATACTATTCGTATTATTATACAATATGTTTATATGTTAATTATTTACTTCTATTGCAAGTCTACCGCCTACCGATATATGTACTTAAATATTATTATCAATGATCGTCACCGCGGTTGCAGTGTGATGGGTGCAAGCGAGATATGATATGCTTTTCTTTAAAATGACAAGGTCACTATAGATAATATTATTTTGTAATTAAATATTGTTTTTCTTTGTCGATGCACGGTTGTACCGTTATATTTATTAAAAATCTGCGCCTATTGTACTTACATTTTACTAATTATAAATCTATTATAATACTTGCAGTCTGCATAGTATAGGATTATTTTATGTTTTTTTCACGTATATCAGCAATCGCGGCTTATAATTTATGAGTTAAACGCAACGGCGTTATTATGTAGGAATTGGTGGAACAAATACACTTTATCATACCCTTTTTTTTTTTTCATTGTTGATTTAGTTTAAAATTGTTCGCTAGAACCGACCATTATTAAAGAAGTAACGGCCAAAAACTTCAGAAACTCTACTCACAGGAAAAAAAAACTAGAAATATTTATACTTCAATTAATTTTTTATGTTTTAGTAAAAAAATTTAACAAATATTTTTTTATTCTATTATTTTCGAAAAATTTGAAGATAATCATTTTATTATTAAAAAAGTTTATTCTTCTGAACATTTTAATATTTCAACTTTTTTTATTTTTATTAAATTCGTAATTTTTAATTATTTTTTAAGGTTCAGAGAAAAGTAGTTATCGCTATTATTATGCAGCAGGTTGTAATAATCGTATTCGCTGATTGATTATTATTATTACAGCTAATACTGTTTTTCTCAAACTTTTAAAAAATTATTAAAAATCACGAATTTAATGAAAAAGTTAATAAGCAACATTTTCAGAATAATAGACTCTAAAATTACTATATCTTCAATTTTTTTAAAAACAATAAAATAGAAAGTTATGTTATCAAGTTTTTTACGAAAACATAAAAAAATAATTGAAATATAAATATTTTTAGTACTTGTCCCTGAAAGCAATATATATATATATATATATAAAAAAATAGAATTTGATTATCTCTATTATCTTCGAAGATATTACAATGGATATTTCTTCGTGGGAACCCTGTTCTAGTTTTTTAATATTTGTAAATTTAATAATAATATCAACAACATTTAATGCAACTGATTTATGACTATTAAATTAAGCAATGGTAAACCCGTTAAACGATCCTGGCCCATTTTTTATCGCAGTAAAGTTTTTAACCTATTAACAAAATAATAAAAGTAGCAAATATGACTAATATGTGAATATAAATAATAAGAAAATGTTAAGTCAAAAAATGGATGTTAAACAAGCTGTAACCAAAAATTAAAAGGAGACAATTTAACTTTTATTATTACTAAAAATTAAATTAAGAGTAATTAAGCATTTAAAACATTTACTACATTATAATTAATAAATATATTTATTTCAAGGTTGTTAGTAAGGTATTAAAAATATTTAAATATTAATACTTTTTACTTTACACGTGTATTTAGTTATTCAAACCTTCGAGAAGCTGAAAAATGCAGGCAATTTCACCGTAGGCCGTGAATCCGTGATCATGTTATCTGATATTAACATAAATATCTTCAAAAAACAACGTAAATTTCATATGAAAAAAAAAATATTTATTTGTTCATTAAATTTAGAAATGCTTATAAGTTCAACAAACATAAAATATGATTTGAAAATATATCTCAGGGGCGATTGCATTTATCGTCCCTCCCCCTCCTCAAATACGCTACTGACGACGTCGTGTAGGTAACAGGCGAAAAAAAATTTAAAACGCGAAATTATATTAAGTCGAACTCGTAGTCATTAAAACAACCAACTTTATGTCGCTATAAATTCTAAAATATTAATACATAAAAAAACTTTGATTGCACCAAAAGACACATATTTTAATAAATATGTTTTTAAAAATATAGAATTTGAAAATTCGAAGTTTTTTTGCGATAACCACTTTCATGACTAAACATTTTATTCACCACACAAAATAATAAATAAAGAAATTATAAATAAAATTAATCATGAATACAAAATTTAACTTTTAGGGTAAAGGAGAGTAGCGGAGCGTCGGTCAGCGGTAATACCGACTATCCCAAAATGTAATAGACCATGGTATTTAAAATTGTGTTGACCATATGTTACCATTAGGTTAAGAATGTTAACAAATTAACAAAAATTAATTTTTATCAGCAGTGTTATCAAAATCCATTTTTGCTTTAAAATTTAACCTTTAAAAAAACAAATTGACATAATTCGCACGATGGGTAGGCCACTGCTATAGGTGAAAAACTGGTAAAGTAAAGGGAAAATTTGAAATATATCTGTACGCAACAATGAATTATTGCTAATGAAAAACGATTCTGAACGGAGTTCGGATATAAATATTTTGAAAGGCCGTAATATTTACGATTTGAATACATTTCGTAAAATTTCTGTTTTTTTCCTATTTATTATGAAAACTTGCAGGAAAATTAAAAAATGATCTCAATGGGAAATGGGTAAATTTACTCCCAATCTTTGCCGCCTGTTTTCGTGCTGTCTGCCCTGCATCCCTCCTTTCACATGGTCTTACAAAATTCCTATTACTCGGTATTATAGAATTAAAGAAAAAAGGGGAAGGTTTTCTGTTTAAATGTATCTCGAAAAGAATGTCCATCGTTGATTATTCATTTTATCTTTTCTGGAAAATAGATACCAAAAACTTCTTCTACCAACTTTGTATTGAATTTTTAAATGCAAAACAAAAAAGATTTAATGGCTTATGAGAAAACTGATGTGATTCAATTCAAAGGCAACTCAAGTAGTTTAATCACTTGGAACTTATCACTAACCTGTCAGTTACTAGTTACATCGTCTGCAGCATTTATTTTATTACGTAGGTAGTAAATCAAAATGGACTTATTAATAACTTGCTTCAAAAATTAGTTTATTCTGAGTAGTCCCATCTGTAGACGGTTTTATGTAATAAAAGCATTTTTTTTTTAACTATCATAATAAGCAGTTAGTATTTCAAGTATGCAATTTTAATCATAATAAGCAGTTTAAAATTGCATACTTGAAAGTGTACCCAATATGATAAAAAATATTAAAACGTTTCTAGGTTAAATGTCAAGCCAAAAAAAAAAAATAAACAAATTCTTTAAGTCCAGAATACTGGTTATAACTTATAATCATTTATAATTTAATAATAATCATAAAAAAAAAATAAGTTAATAAATAAATGCAAATAATTTTAAATACATTTTACATTATAGTAGTAATAAAAATATAATAATAATAGGATTTAAGAAAAGTAACAAATAAAATAAAATACAAATAAATAAAAACATAAAAGTATTACAGTAATTAAACTATTTTTGTTTGTGCTTCTAGGATAGTTTATAATTTTCGAGATCCAGTTCTGCTTTTAATCACTCCAAAAGTAGCTAATTTAACTTCATTTAAAAAACTTGAGGAATTATGTACAGTACTTCCACCCAATATTATCCTTACATGTGGATTAAGTGTGTTCAGATTGTATACTGACATTGATTCTTCATATGTAACACCTCCAATTACAAAAACAATTATATCTTGTGTTCTGTTAAACAAATATACATTTTAACTTAATATATAAACATAAATTTAGGTATTATTATGTTTTTTTAATTACAAGGAAGCTTATATGTAAATTAAAGAAAAATTCAAAACAGAATTAGTGGTTAATGTCAAATAGCAGCCTTGGGTACACACTTGTTCTGTTTCATATTTTACGGGACTTCTGACAATCTTTAAAAATAATCGTTTTAATGTGAATGTAGAGAATAATGTATAGGTTTTACTATTTTATTATATGTTATTTTGTCTGTTAACAGCATGTCTATTGGAAATTATGCTGTAACCAATAAAAGATAAATTACATTACTCTGTATACTACCTTCTCAAATTTTCATCCATAATAATTCCACACCCACCAGCAACATCGGCATAATTTCGACTAACTTTTGAGAGGGGATGAACATTTTTGAAAATTGTCTAAAAGATGGGTGGGGGTATGAACTTATTAGCTTTATCTTATTTTCAATTGGGAAGTGGTAGGGTTTAGAAAAATAAAATAAGACCATCACAAGTATAATATTGTTTTATATTTTAACACGGTAATTAAAAGATGATTGGTAGATAGAATTATTATAGATATAATACTTAAAAAAAAAAAAGCAAAGGGAGAAATTTGACACCCAGATCAGAGCATCTTGCGTTTTGACGAATTATCTTTATACCGCATAATAAAAACAGTGTATTTGAGAAAGTTATTTTAATGTGTTTACAAGTAAAATTCTGATGTGTTTGAACAAGTATGCTAGATACAGTGTAAAATATAAAAGACAATATATTTATTGCAAATAACATAATAATAAAATTGTCTAAAAATGGCTCATATTATACCTACACATAATATTTCACAATTGGTTTTTCTATATCATCAGCCAGATAGGATCAATAAATTGTGGTTTCCCCTAGTAAGCAAAAATATTATATTAATTTATTGATTTGTGTTACATATATCAGTTTGCTCGACCATAGATAATCAAAAATATTTAAAAACAAGTTGGTATAAATATGTATCAGGTGATATTAAACTTTAAACTTTCAGAAAACATAGAGCACATGGTGTTAAAATGTCAAGAAAAACAAATTTAAAAAAAAGAAACCAAATATATATTTAAACTAAATTTTTAATTTAATTTTAAGTGATAAAAAAAAAAATAACATATAATATTTTACACTTGATTCGAGATTTTTATCACACAACAAAAAAACAGTCTAATTTTTGATTATACCTATGGAACTCACGGACAGTTCCAAGTCTATCAATATGAGAGGGAAAATTGATTGTTAAAAGTCATCCAAACACATTACAATTTATTAAAATCACTCACTCAAACACGTTGTGGAAAATTGCTCAAACACAATGCAATTTTTACAAAATTGCCCAAGTGCAAATGGCCCCAGATCCCTCCCCACTCATGATTAAATCATTGATCAACAATATTAGGTAGGAAAGGTTGATATCTCTATATATTTGATACATTATTTAAAAAAGATCATGCATTTAAATAATAAATTTTGCATATATTCAAATTCTGATTTTTGAAATTTGTTTGTGTAGATAAAGCCAATATTATAAAATAATTCGATTTTCACAACATTTAAGAAGCAACCTGTGATGATACCAACTTTAGTTTTTCAAAATTACGATTTTTATACCAGTGAACCGAAAAAGTGGTAGAATGGGAAAGCGATCAAGATCAAAGGTAAACAAATAATAAAAGAGTAAAACTAAATATAACTTAAGCAGCAACGTTAAGATATCCACAAAAAAAACTAATTTGTATAACAGTAAAAAATTGTCTAATGTGCTACTAAAATAACTTGTCCTCATCCCGACAAAAATAAAATATTGAAAACAAACATGGACATCTCTTTGAAGCAGAAGAATAAATCTTGTAAATCATACCAATTAACAAGTATTACACAGAACCATTAATACTATAGTTAAATAAATAGTTAAAACCTATTCAATTTTTTGTTAAGATTTTATTAATACTAATTTGCAAGAATTTGTTATTAGTAACTGTTGAAAATTTATGAAAAACTATGAGTATGACCCAAATATATATTATACCTTGTGTTTATTATGGTTTAAAGTAATTTCTTAATTTAATATTTAAAGGAATTTATGATACGAAAATAATTTTTTTTATTCATAAACGAACTAATTCAAAATCATAATTAGTATAATCAATCAAAAATATATTGTTTACTTTTTTGTTGGTTGATTTATATCACTTAAAAATGGGTATTGTTCTTCCTTTAATCTTGACTTTATCATATCTTCAACTAATTCTTTCAACAGTGGAACATGCTGGGTAAATATATTGTCAACACCTTTTAAATCCTGATTACAAATTATAATTATTATTATTTTCTGTCTAAAAATAATGAAATTTAATTTATGATATTCATATACATAAATTATTTTTTAAGATTTTTATTAAAAATAACCATGAAACAATTACCTTATAAAATCGTTTTGTTATTTGTTTTGCATTTTTTAATGTATTTTCATTATCCAAAATTACTTTACTTTGGTATTTCATCACATCATATACAAGCTTAAATATTAGCAACATTACAATTTAAATATTTAAAATATAAATAACCTGATAATTTAAAAAAATATTGTTTTGTATAATTACTTCTATCCAATGTTCCGGAACTTTTTTGGATTTTAATAATTGTATTAAACTAGTTAATTCTCTATTACTATCTTTGCTAATGGATTTTATTGCATATAACATAACAAGTTTACTTGCTTCCTCCTCTGGTATATTTTTTTCAATAAGATCTCTAATTTTCTTAAAAATAAAATAAATTAATAAATATTAATTAATTAATACAAAAAATATATATAATTTATAGTTGAATTTATCATTTTAAAATGTATTTATTACTAGCGTAATGAATAATCTAGTTGATATTGTAGAATTTTACATATTTCTTTTCATTATTCAAGAAATTTAGACAGATTATTGAAAGTTTAAAAAATATATAACAATACAATTTAGAAAAACAATAAAATGCATTTGAAGAATATGTAATATTGTGTTATACATTTTTTATTTGATACTAATAGTTTTTAATCATTAAAAATACTTTTTTGTATTAAGTTATCATATTTTGATAGGTATATGTTTAGTTAATATTTTAATCAAATTTTAATTAAAATATTATTTAAAAAAAAGAATATATAGGTGATCCTAATAAGCTACACTTAATATCTCAAAAATGAATAACTTTTTTCAAAAAAATTTGTTGATATTATTCTTTATCTTTATCACCTATATTTTTATCGAAAAATGTTTTTTTTTTTTTTTTTAAATATCAAATGCAGTCAATTATATTTTATCTGTACTATTCACCTGAAATTTTTGATGTAAGATACATCTTGTTGTAAATTACTTTCATATTTATCATGTTATTTTATTTTTATTAATACTACCAGGTCATCCATTTAAGTGATTACACTCATTATCTCGGAAAGTATTAACTTTTTCCGGAATTTGTTTTCTAGAACATTTAAAAAATAAGCTGCTCTACAATTTTATATTTATGTTATTTTTTTTACCCTTATTTTTGGGAGTAAAATTACCTACATATGATTAATGGCAACCTATATTAAAAATTTGAAAACTAGATTAGATAAAATACATTTTAGTATTGAAATTTTTGATTTTCATCAATCTGTTTTCGAGATTACTTCACTTTTAAGTTTTGGTTGAAGAGTAGTGGAGTATCATTTGTATGGTGGTACGGCACATGGCATATTAATAATGCACAACTACTTTCCTACAACCAAATTAAACCAAACAAATTCCAGGAATAGTTCATACTTTCCGAGATAATGCATGTACCACTTAAATGGATCATCTAGTATATAAAAGTGTAAGAGTAAAAATTAAGAACTATATGCTCTCTTGATGCTTACCTGGGTATGTTGAGAAGATTGGATATCGCATGCAATTTGTTGTTGCAATTCAGATACTTCCAAAAGATTTTTTTTTGTAATAAAATTTGAAAGTTGTTCCATAATTACTACATGTTTAGCAACTGTACCAGACATTTTCTGAAAATAAAATTATTAACTGTTTTAATTTGATACATTTATTTTGACATAATAAATATTATTAATTACCTTAAATTGTGGATAATTTTCAACAAAAGCTTTCATATCTGATATTGTATCTAGTTTTTGATGGTCTTTTGCTTTTGATTTAAAATCATCAATTAAAGATTTCATAATTTCACCAATTTCACCAAAGTTTTTATACATATTCTAAAACCATTTTTTGGTATATAAATAAATAATTAAAAATATCACTGATTTGAATGTTTAAATGTATACTTGTTTGTATAAATCATCTTGTTCAGCACACAATAATAATTTTTGAAGATCTGGTTTTATGTCTTCAATGTGACTTAAATCAACTTGATTATTGTTTATAGTTAGTAATTCATGAACCATAGCTTGATAAGACCACTGTTAGACCAAATAATAAAAGTATATAAACAATTTGAAACATGAATACATAGCAAAACAATTATTTTATCCATATATGCATGAAGTATTTAAATTAATATAACTTGTCTTAAACTGGCACAGGTATCACCCAGGATTAATAAAAATAATAAATTATTTGTCTAACATATGAAAAAAAAAAAATTAAACTTGATAAAAATGAATTTATTTTTAATTAGGTTATCTTAATATAAATTAAATCAAATTTACCGGCATTAATAATGGTGAAACCGGATCTTCTCTCCGATCCAGTATTAGTAACTGTGGTTGAATATCACCTTGTTTTAAATTGAAAAGGTTTTCTTCTTTTGAAAAAATTTCCTTAAAATAATATAATTTATTGTCATGATTATTATTGTTTAAATATGGAAATATCAATGTTAGATTTAGAGTTATATATTTATTTATTTATTAATGGACATATATATAGATTCTGAGTGTAGCGAAGAATTTATTGGTTTTACAATATTGTTTATTTTTAATATTGTGACAAATATTTCTATCAGAAGTCTTGCTTTAATATGTAAGTGTGGCCCCATTTTTTAAAAGAAATTTTATTTGAATGGTACTGTAAGGGTCTTATTTTTTGATTTTCCAATCAGGTTTCATAATATCTGGGAAAACCTAGGATAAAACTTAAGAAAACAGGAAAATTTATGAAAATAATGCTTTTATAGTTCAGTTAAAAATATTCATAGTGACCTGAAATTAGGACGGAAAATTTATATTTGCCTTTTCTAAACATGATAAAACTGTAAAAACATTTGAGGCAATTTTTGAGCTATTTAATAATAATTGTAATTTTGTGAGTAATTTTTATTTGGTACTCTACTATCACTAAACAGAAATGTTTTAAAATTGAACAGGATATTCATCATAAGTTCTACTTTGTGGTCAAAAAAATGAGTTTAGTGTAATACTTTTTTTTTATACAAATTTTAACAAAAATTGTTTTAGTAAAAAATCATGTGGAACAAATCACTGTTACTGGTCCATATAAATTGTTTCAATATATATTTATTTTACTTATATATATATATATATATATATAATATACATTGGAATGTTAAATCATTGAGTAGAAGTAGACAATTTAAAGGAAATTAGAAGATTAATTATTGATATTACAGGAATAAGCAAAGTAAAATAACCAGACCCTAGTGATTTTTAGAGTGATGAGTATAATTTTATACACACAGAATAGAAATATGGATATACTGGAGAAGACATCATCATAAATAAACAACATGGGGAAAGTGTAATTAGCTATTATCAATGCTCAAATCATCACATAACGTGTTATGAAATGTTTTGATATATGAAGTATGTATATAATATGGAGTTTAAGGAAGAAGATAATATAGATGAGAACAATAAAAGAGATTATATGAGGATTGTCCAGAAAGTAACAGACGTTTTGGTCTGGCGCAGCAGTGGAAGGGGCTAGCGCTATCTTGGTGTCAGGTGTTCCTACACTCAGTATGCAATCAGCCATCGTAGCATGTATACTGTGCCTATTGTACTTTATTTAAAGTGGAGTGATGAAATAAGTGCTGAAATTGAAAACGCCTTCAGTTATGAAAAGAGACTGTGATAAGGTTTTTGTTGACAAAAACTCACAATTAATTGAAATCTATTGCCGAATTTGTGATGTGTATGGCAAAGGAATGATAAGTGAAAACAGAGTGAGGAAGTGGTGCATTGATTTTAAAAATGGCCGAACCAATGTTCATGATGAGGATTGCAGTGGTAGGCCTAGTCTTGTGAGTGATGAATTTGTGGGGAAAAATCAACAAAAAAAATCTGTGAAAATTGTTATTAAACGATTATGGAATTCTCGGAACATTCCCCCCAAATTTCTCACGGAATTTATTTTATGAAATTGTGGTTGGTAAACTTATCTAACTCAAACTGGTTAGGTTAGGTTAAACTGATTTAACTCGCAGGTAGCAGATTTCTACAGAGAGAAATTGAAAAGCTTGTACTACGTTATGATAAATGTTTTATTTTAAATGGCGATTTATGTAAGAAAAATAACCTAAAAGTTTACCTTCAAAATGTATATAACAAATGTTGTTTTTTTTTCACTTTGTTTATTTTTATTTCAAAATATCTGTTAATTTCTGGACTGTCCTGGTATCTTACGTGTAGAATTTGACCATACAATAGAATGATTAAAAAACAACAAAGCTTTTGGAGTAAATGAAATTCCTGCTGAATTATTAAAATACACAGACATAGATATTAAAAATGAAATGTACAAAATAAGTAATGAAATATATCTCTAAGGAAAAACTAATAATGACTTTAAAAAGGGATTCGTGATACTAATTCCAAAAAAGAAAGGAACACAAAAATGCGAAGAAAACAGAACATTAAATCTCACCACAAATACCTACCTCCAAATAATCAATAACAGGATAGATAAAACAATAAGACAGAAATCTGGGTAGAGAACAATTTGGGTTCAAGAGAAATATAGGAACCATGAACCAATTATAATACTAAGAATACTAATAGAAAATTTTTGCTTTTATAATAATATGCACAGGAGTAAATTATTCAAAATCCTAGAAACAATCGGCATAAAATATTATGAAGTTATAAGCCATATGGAAAATTAGTCTATGCAAAACAAATAGGCTCTTTGTGATGGGGAAGTTTGTTTGTGAATTACTTATTATTTTTTCAAACAGCTGCCTGTTTTTCAGACTAATTACAGACAGTCTAACAGCAGTTAGGCTTTTTAAGAACTACAATTATAATATGTAAACTGTATAAGTAACAATCATATTTATTTGTATAGTAGTTCTTAAAAAATCTAACTTCTATTAGTCTGCAATAAGCTTCAAAAATTTGATGATTTGAGTCACAAGAGAAGATAGGATAAGGGATAAGTACATAAGAAAAAGCTTAGATGTTGCTTCAAAATTCAAAGTAGACAAATGAGAGAAAATAGAACAAAATGTCACAGAGAGAGAGGAATCTGATGCAGTGAGAATTGTAATGAAAATAAATGTAGGAGGATAGAGGTGAGAGGAAGACTGAAAAATAGATGATTGAATGGGATTAAGAATGATATGAGGACAGCCGGCAGTGTATGCGATGTGGGAGTGTTTCAAGAGAAGGGTCAAATGGAAGTTTAGAATTTTATGGTTAATCCAAACTATTTAGAATGAAGATGAAAAATAATTACAACTAAATTTACCTTAACTTTTTCAGCAAGTTGTTTACTCATTTTCGAAGATGCTTGAAATCGTATTAACGGACATTTTTTTAATGACAATAAAACAGAGATTATTCCTTGTGTACACCGTGTAAGTTGAAGTGGATCCCATGATAGACCTAAAAGAAAAAAAATTATAGTTATGTAAGAATTAATTATAACTAATTAAAAAGAAAAGTAATACATTGTCCACAAGATGAAATGTTAAATGAAAAAAGATGAGGAGCAACTGCTAAGTAATCAGCATAATATTCTTGTATTTCACGTACAACTTCTTGGATATCACTTTCAGCAATTGTCTTGATGTCTGTTTTTGAAATGATATTACTAAAATCTAAAAATGGTCAATTTAATCAAAAATATTAATATAATATACTATGGATAATGACATATAATCATTTGTAATAGACTGAATAATACAAAAATAAGAACTTAATAATCAATAATTAAATAATCTAGTGGATCAATTCGTTTTTGAAAACTATAATATAAACTGTTTTACTCTATTACTTACATATATAGTAATACCCATATCTAGGATTACGCAACTCTTTACATAACAAAGATACATTTTCTCTTGTTGGACGCAGAAATGTAATACATTTCATATGATACATGTTGTCTGTGCTACTAGTAGATGTTAATTGTTCAAATAAATATACTTCTCGCTGAAGTATTTCTGACTGACTGAAAACTGCACTCACTATACTAGTCTATAATCACATAATAATTTAAAGCTAGATATTATTTTTTATCACATAGACTTGAGCTCTTTAGAATGTAATAACCTATACAATATACCTAGCCAAACTAAACATATATTTACACATATTATATTTTATTTTTCATTCCAATACTTTTCAAAATTAAGTTAATGTAATAAACATAATTGTAAAAAACTGACTGTAATTACCATTAAAATATAATATTTTGACATAGTGATTGTTCAAAATTTAGATTGTGATTTATATAACCACATATCTTATATATTAATAATAATAAAAGTTAGTATAAAAGGATTTAATATGAGAATAAATATTCAAACAAATAATAAAAAAACGTCCTAGGATAATGGGGACAGATGCAGTCACTGTTATAGATAATTTTATGTATACCTGTAGGCAGCGATAAACCATTGTTTACAAAAAATTGATTCTGAGCGCAGTTCAGTTGATAGTGATGCTTTGTAAACAAAATATGTTACTTATTTTATAGTAAAATAATTAAATAGGCTGTATATATTTTCTTTAATAATATTTGTTCAATGTTGTAAAGATTTTCCCTGATTTTATGCTGGTTTTCCACATTTGGAAAACTCTTGAGAAAATCGAAAAATAACCTCCTTAAAGTACCTCCCTATGTCGATTTTCTTTCAGAAAAGGTGCTACATGTACAAATTTGAGCGAGTCTTCTGGTGGAAAAGTTGCGCACAGATAAAAAAAAAATATAAAATAAACATCTTTCTAAAACTATAAATAAAAATAAGAAAATGATAGTAAACGATAAACAGAATTAGTATTCAAAGAAGAATAAGGTAAAAAATGTGCTTTTATTAAAATACCCTGACTGTAGTTGTATAAAAATATTTTAGTTATTGACTCTTTCTACAAATAAACAATTGATTAAATAACCAATGTCTAGGTGATGACTGACTGTATTAATACTCAATAAAAGTATTGATTATTCAAATTCAATGCTTCCAATGAGTGAAATTTATGATAAACATAATTAATTATCCAAAAAGTAATAGGGTAACAGTTTCAAACTGTTTAGAATGGTTAAGTACAATAGAAATGGGTTTTGATAAAGATTAGATAGTAAGTAAAATTTGTTGTTAATAATCATATAATATTATGTAGATAAAGTATCTAACAAATTTTAAATAACAGTGATTGAGATAAAATATTAAGATAATTTCTAAATAGTAATCAAGGAAGACAGATGCAAATATTTTATTATACATTTGTAATATTCAAAATAACTTTAATTAACATACTTAAGTTTATATCCATTCAAGAAAAATAAATTAATCTTAGTACATTTTAAAGTGGATGTACAGTTAATTCAGATTTTACATTTTGAAAATAATTAATATTACCTATAGTCTAAAGGTATTTCTTACAGTCTCTGTTCTTTCCCTTATAAGTTAGTAGTTTACTAAATTAAAAAAATTATGTTCTAGGTAGTCTATGTACAATATGCTTACAGTGGTTTTATCCATGAGTAGCACTTTCATCCCAGGACCACAATCTTCAGTCATTTTTACTATGTATAATTTTACAGCTTGAATAAGATCCATAGCGAATAACAATTTACAATTACTTGAGAAAACCTAATTAAAATTTCTTCAAATATTATTTTTAATGAAAAAGGGTTTTATTCAAAAATTAAAACAAGATATTTTACCCCAGGTTTGGAGAATTTAGAAAACAAAAACCTTGTTAATGTTATTGATCATGTTGATATCACACAGATATTACCTTTTTTAAAATTAATATTGATAACTACTATCATATGTTTTTAGAATGTACACAGAGAGCCTAGATTATCTACAGATTATTAACGGACCATATGAGAATATTATACAATATTTTTACAGCATATTTGGGTATGAAATTACGAACGAATAGCGTTTTTCATACGTGTGCGCCTAGAGTTGATTGCGACATTTTAAAACATGTCACGGGACATAAATTACCATCCCACGATCAGATATATGATAACAAATTTAAATTTCATTTATGTTTATTTTAATTGCACGTACCCATGGACTAAAATATTATATTATATATTATGAATTATGGAACGATTCTAGTTTAGCTTCCATGCGATTTTTTGGTTTTTTTTTTTCAAAATGTATGTTTTTGCGTGTACATTAAAAAAGTAAAAAAAAGTTTGACGAATTTCCTTTGGAAGTTATGGGAAAAAATTCATAAAGTTTGGGTTTTCTGTTTCGCGTATTTCATAGTTAGAATTTAACATTTTCAATTTTTTTTTCCAAAATGTGCGTTTTTTAATGCTTAATCAATTGATATAATCAAAAATCACTTATAATACTTACTTTTATAGTTTTTGTACATAATGATGGAATTTGATGTCCCGTAACATGTTTTAAAATTTCGCAACCCGTTTTAGGTGCACACGTATGAAAAATGCTATTCGTTCGTAACTTCGTACCCAAAATATGCTTTGTATAATATTCTCAAAAAGTCTATGTTTATTCTAAAAACATATGATAGTAGTTAGTAGGTGAGTTTTGATTATACCAATGGATTAGGTATTAAAAAAACACATTTTGGAAAAAAAAAAAATGTTATATTCTGACTAATAAATACGTGAAATGGAAAACCCGAACTTCTAGATGTTTTCCCCCATATCTTCCAAATGAAGTTCGTCCGACTTTTTTTAGATTCTTAATATACATTCAAAAACACAAAAATAACTAACTACTATATTACGTTCAACATTTTTTGTTTAACAATAAGTACAACTCGTGTTACATTTTTAAGCATTTTTGTTGGACCAAACAATTTTATCCACATAGTATACCTAGTAAATAAAAACTACGTAAAAATGTTGCAAATATGAAATGCCTTTAAAATAATGACTTAAAAATCGCCAAAATGGTTTTTTTTCGGATACTTTAATTTTAAAATTGATTACCTATATTTATAATTTAATGATATAATGAGTTGGATTTTTTTATCATAATAATAATATTTTATTTAGAAAATCATAAATAATACATAAATATATATACATATAAAATAATAACAATGAAAGATTTGCAACTTCCTATTAAACATAACTTGAGTCGGGGAGTTAAAAATTGAGTTGCAATATATCTAAATAAAAATGATAGTGTAAAAATTTCAGTTCTCGATGATAAATTAAAACCAATTTACAACAAAAAACCAAAATACAAAATAACGAAACCATTAATGCCGTAAAACTTCGTGGGTATACGACAGCAAAAAAAAATACACACATAGTAAAACTAATAGATCGACAAAAAATGGCAAAGATCATTTAAAATATATTTAACTCATAAAATATGGAAAACACAAATTCCACTATAAGAATCTGTGAAAAAACCAAAATAAAGAATGTTATTAGAACATAAATTTTAGACTATAGCGAGGAATTAATTTGGCTTATATAAAATTGGAAAAAATTATTTTAAAAATAAAATTCTTTTGAATAAAAAAAAAATTGTAAAATCTGAGAAAACAAAAATTTCTTGAATATTTGAAGTAAAAAATTATTTAAAATATAAAAACAAAAGTATACAATTTGACACAAAAAAAAAAGGCGCCAAATTAACGTTATGCTTTCGATGCACTGTGCACAGTAGAACCAACAAATCTACAGGTACTACGGTGTGATGCACGAAGGCTAATGCATGATTTGTAATCAGGGCATTCTTAATAAACTGGAATAGGTACAATAGTGCAGATTTAAATGTAAAAATGTCGTATCAACAGTCACAATCCCAAACGGATCTGTATATCATTTTGATACCGAACCAACGGCGCCGTTTTTTCAGTCTTGGGACTTTAAGACTTAAATTATCTTTAATTATGTCAACCTATAACAAAATTAAAACAAAGCACAAAAAAATTGTGGTAATTGTAAAAGTTTTTGCAAGGTTTATACTTTTATAGGATATAATTAACTGGTCACGAATAGTTTATCAGTGGCCATAAACTAATGTACTATAGTCAAGAGCCAAGTGTGGGGATCACAATGCAAACCACACCATCACAGTTATGGATAGAATGTATTGTATAATACGGTGGTCCCATAGACCATTATAGAGCCAGCGTTTTTTATTGTAACTATTGTCTAACGTTTGCCAATCTAGTGATCATTGATAATGGATGAAATAAATAATAGACATCTATGACATGTTTCTTTTGTATTCATATTACTTTGTTAGTGATATACTAAGGTAAACACAGTTACTTTTAAAATCAAATTTTGACATTTTGTCAAGAATATATTTTGAATTATATTATATTATGAAGTTTTCACTAGAGTGGATTTCAATAGCTATAAAACTATAACATGGGCCATTATGCAAAAACTTAATACAAATTGATTCAATAGTTTTTGAGTATTAATTTCAAATATCCATTATATATGTATATATATATATATATAAATTTGTTATAATAATCATCTTTTTTCTATCAATATCTATTTAGGTTAACAGCTATAAGTCAAACGTTAACTTAGTTAACTTTGGGAAATAAATGTATAAGTAATAATAAATCATATGTAATTTGAAAAACCAAAGATATATCTTTTTTTTATAACCATTTCTAAAGCTGTTTCCTATTTTGTTTTTACTTCCACATTTAGTATTCATCACGAGATCCATGGACAGATATACAATATGTTATAATTGAATAAGTATAAAAATATTAATTATACAAATACAAGTAATTAGAAGAAAAAGAAAAAGAGTAAACTGTAAGCAGTAATACAACTACGTACATGATCAAAATATTTAATATATATAAATTAAAAATAAAAGGAAGCAACAAAACATAATTTTAAGCACAGACTAAGTAATATCACTACTGTAAATAGTTATTACTTACAAACATAATATTTAAATAATATACTCATGAATATTGTACTTAAACCATTCAAGTTAGTACAATAGTTTCTATACATACCAACAAATCAAACAAAAACCAAATAATAAAATATGCATTTATGTTTCAATAATTGGGTATCATTTGTAAATATAAGAAAGTTTATCAATAAAAAAATACTTAACAAATTTAAAAATGGTTTAATTGTCAAAAACCAAATTATAGGTAATCTTAACATATTATGAATTAAATATTAACACGAATATTTGTCTTAATATCACATAGTTATTATTATCATTTAATGTTCTTCACACGAAAAATAAAATAATATTGATAAGGAGGGAAATGTAAATAAAAAATTATTTTTTATTTTTACATGGAGACAAGGACCACTTACTATAATAAACAACAATATTTTACATTTTTTTTATGTATACAGAAATACAATAGAGAATAGAAATTCAAAGAAAATACTTATGTTATTAAAAATAAACTAAACGAAAAAAAAAGGAAGGTTAAGAAACTATAAAATCTATATTATATACATAATATTACGTTAGAATAAAATTGTACTAAAAATATTTATATAATAATGTTATGTATAAAAATAAAGTATTTACATTCAATGTTCGGTAACCGAATCCCAATAAGAATATAACATATTTTGGTACAAGATAAAATTTTAAAAAATTATAATTTTTTAAATGGACAAAACATTTAAACAGTAACTATTATAATGTATTTCTTTGAATTCAGGTTAATCAGTAATAGTATTTATTATTTTAGTACCTATATAAAAAACAAAAAAAGGCTAGGAATTGTTTCTAGGCCTACGTTCATAATCTCTCCTGTATTCTGATACAGGTGGATGCCAATCAGCTGAAACACTGTATGGTGGTAAGCTCATGTATGAGGCAGAGCTAGAACGGCCATACAATTCAGGAGCATAGAAACTAGCTGCAGATGCTGGGCCGTATGCAGCATATGCTTGTTGTTGATATCTATTTAAACAAACAATTTAAACACATTTTATAATTAATGTAGAAAAATTATTTTCGCAGTTCACAAACCTGATTTTTTCATACATTCGCATATCAGAATCGAGCTCTCTTTCTCTTTCTCTAAATCCAGGGCGATTACGATAACTACTGTCATACCTCTCGCGCCTGGCATTGGCATCTCGACTGGATGAAAACCTTAACACATATAGTAAATTATGGTTAAATTAAAAACAAAAGGCTAAGAAAAAATTACAATTTAATACAACTCAATTTACCTTCGGTTATCACTTCGGTTATCACTTCGGTTATCACTCCTAGAATAGGGTGCACTTCTATTTCTATGATGGTTGTAATTAGTATCATATCGGTTACTACTTTGGTCATATGATCTTGTAGCATTAGATGAATTACTAGAACTTGGAGGGGTAGATGGAACTGAGGTGGGGGTTGTTAGCAGTGCTGCACCTGAACTACTATTTGAATTAAATTTTGATTTTTTATGTGTCTTTTCTAGATCATCACTATCCCGGGGTTTTCGTTTTAAAGGTATTTGTAAATCTTCAGAATCGATCTGTCAAATTCAAATACAAATACATAAATATTATTAAAAAATTTGTAATACAACTAACTTACATTCTTTTGGTGTTTTTTGTCATCTTTTGGTTTTAATTTACCTTTCTCTTTAACTTTATATTTATCTTTTTCAAGTTTTTCAGTTGTATGTAAACCTTTTCGATAAATTTTTAGCAGTTTTTTAGAATCAAATTCAGTAAACTTTGAAACAAAGAACCACAAATTACTATAAAAATTAATAAAATAAAATAAATATTATTCCGAATAAATACAAATACTATAAATAAATAAAATAAACCTTCTCCATTCTCGTATTTTATCTGGATCTTTATACTCTTCTAAACATTTTCCAATATGTGATCCTATTTCTAATAAACATTCTTGCATATGATTTACATATCTTAATTCATTTTTTTTTTCTTCTGGGTCGTCTAATGCTTTTAAAACTTTCTTCACTGGTCTCATTTTTTCTTTGCACTGTTAAAATGAATAATATAATAATTTGTTATTATATAAAATAATACGTTACATATAAAAAATTTCAATACTTTTGTAGTTTGTACAGATATTGAAGAGTAATGCAATTTGTGTAAGTAAATTAAAAGCCAATTTACCTCTAAAAATTTATCTTTTGGAAGTTCAACTATATCATCAACATTTACTGCTTTAGGCTCACTATTAGCAGTGAAATGCATTGGGCCAGTCTTAGTGATTACTTTACGTTTTTTTTCTTTTTTTGGTGATCCAGTTAATACAACAGATTTTGCATTATTTAAATCTTTTTTAATTTTTGATTTGTCATCTTGATTATGAGTACTCGTAGCATTTGTTTTTTTTTTGTTTCCATTTTCATTGTCAGTACTATCATCATCAACTATTTCTTTTGATTTTCCTTCTTTAACCTTACGTGTCTTCCTAGGTTTTGGATCACCTTTAACTAATACTCGATTTTTTTTTAACATTTTTAATAAGTATTCAGAACGAGCTAGTAAATGTTTAGCTTGAGGCTTTTTATCTTCATTAGACAATATTTTGTCACTAAGACCTAAGGCAGTGTCAATTTTCATTGCTTCCCATGAACCTAATCCATAAAGATAGATACCAGTTAATAGTTTAGAATCATCAGTTATGTCCCAGTCAAAATCGAAATTGGCTGATTTTACACGTTTTAAATCTAAAGTCCATTTAGATCTTTCATCTTCGTCTGATGGTATAATTTCATCTAAAACATCTAGTTCTTCACTACAAGCCAACACACTTTTAGCATTAACAGCCACACCACCAAGTTTTATAGAAGGCCCTCTATTTCTCTTTTTGACACCATCTTCATTTGTAGCATCTGATTCTTTTTCAGTGTTTTCACTATGACATGCTTCATGACAACGGTCATATAACATTTGAATTAATCTTTTTAATTCAGATTTGGGTTTTTCTTGAAGATCAGCATCACCAGCAACAGCATCTATGCGTTTCAAAGGTTTAGGAAAGCGTTTACAACTTTTAATAAATTTACGAATCTGCAAAAAAAAAGATGCAATATTTATAAAGCAAGTTATAAAACTAAAACATGAAAATAAATCTAAAACTGGGAATTAAATAATTGACTTACTATTACATTGCATTAATATTATACGGGGTGTCTCACGAAAATATACCCACTGTAAAATCTCCAGAGACAATAAAGTGAATCAAATTCTGTTTTTCTTACATTTGTAGTCCTGCAAGTAACATAAAAAATACAGAATTTGATTACCTCTATTATCTACAGAGATTAATGCAATGGGTGCCACAATGTTGCATGAGACACCTGTATATTATAAATTTGTATTACTAAGAACAGATCTAATATTTGACAAATATTTCTAAGCAATAATTACTTAATGTTTTAATTTTAAACATTAATAATTTTTTTTTAAAAAAAAAGCTGATACTAAAGATAGGTGTCAACTGTTATGGGCAGAAAGTTGGGAAGGTAGTGTATATAAAGTCGTTCAATTTATATTCGTAGCAACGATAAAGTATTGCTAATGAAAAACAATTCTGAGCGAAGTTCGGTTAACCATGTTTCAAAAGGCTGTTAAGTTTAAGATTTTAATTAAAATTGATATTACAACTTTTATAAATAAATAAGAAAAAAACCACATTACACTAAACATTTTTATTTGGCCTCTAATAATGACTTATAATGAAAACCTCTTGTACAATTTTAGAACAATTCTGTTTAGTCAAACAATTTTATTTTGAGTACCTATCGAATAAAAATGATGTTAAAAACTCACAAACTTAAAATGTATATAAATAGCTCCCCCAGCATTGTCCCTAGTGCTGTTCAATCTAGCTCTGGAAAAGGTGGTGAGAGATATATCAGACCTCAAAGAAATAGAATTAACAGGACCCTGCTATACCTTGCTTGCCTATGAAGATGATATTATTTTACTAGGAGAGACCAGAAATGATGTTGAGGAGAGTGTAAGAAAGCTAATAAAATCTGGCTGCAATATGAAGTTAGTGATAAACAAAATCAAGACAAAATATATGGTGATGCAACTGTAAAGGATAATTTACGCATCAAAGGATTTACTTTCGAGCAGGTAGGGGACTTTAAGTACTCGGGAGTTAATAAAAAAGAAAAGAACAATATGCATAATAAAATTAGGACGAGACTAAATGTGGCAAACAGATGTTACTTTACAATGAAAGAAATGTTTTTCTTCAAGTTACTATCCAGACGTATAAAGGAATACCTCTACTGTACTTACTTGAGACCTATAGTAAGGTATACATGCAAGACGTGGTCTAGCACTCAAGGAAATGAAGAAAGACTACAGAGTTTCGAGAGGAAAATACTCAGGAAAGTATATGACCCAGTATAAAATAATGACTTGGGATGTTTCCAAAGAACAATTAAAAACCTGCAACAGCTGTACAATAAGCAGTCTACAACATTTTTTAGCCAGAAAAAGGCTAGAATGGGTAGGACACGTTTGGCAAGTAGAGAGATCACTCATTAAGAATCACGGTAAACAATCTAATGGGAAAAAGACCAAGAGGTAGACCTCGGCAGAGATGGTATGATACAGTAAAGAAAACCCCGAAGGAAATCAATCTATTAACAACAAAATAATAAATTATAAAATAAAGTAAAAACAAAATTATTTAAATAGTTAATAATCGTATTTTTACTATAAAAATAATAAAACTTAATTTTCGTATATTTTCCCATTCTTTCAAAGTTTTTTTTTCAGTTTTGCTCAAATATTAAACAAATTACAGGAAAAATCAAATAACGACTTTTTAAATCTACAACTAGATTAATAATGCAACAAAAAAAGGTCTTTCTTTTATTAGAATATTGCTGGTAGAAAATAAAGCATACAAATTTAAAATAAAGTAATCACAACACCATAAATAACCTTTTTTCCTAATAATTATAAAAACTACTTGGAATATCAAAAAATGACCTCCATTCTAGACTCAACCATCCACTAGATACAGTTTCCTTTTAGGAATTATTTTCTACATACCTCTGCATCAGTGAAACCTTTAACTATTTCTTTAGTTCCAACACGTGGTCTACCACGTTTTCTTGGTTGATCTTCATCACTTCCGTCATAGCTGGAATCATCAGATTCATCCTTTTTAGACTTCTCACCCTTTTCATCACCCTGATTTACTTTTTGTAAAGTTTTTCGACTTCTAGGAGGTAAATAAAGATCCTCCATTTCCTTAGCTTTTTCTTCTTCTTCGACCTTCTTCCTTAAAGTTTCAGGTATAATTTCTTCCTATATTAATTAAAATTATCTCTTTATTAATTAAATAAAGAATACAAATTTAAGAAAAAAAGAAATACCCATTCTTTATTTTCTTGTTCATTTTGTGCATTAGGTGATTTATCAATAATTTCTTTTTCTTCATCAAAAGTAAAGCTAGCAACTTTAAAAGCTGATAAAAGTTCATCACCCACTGTTGTTGGTGCTTCATCGCGTGTCTCAGCTCGCCTCAAAATTTCATCAATATCACACTAAAAATCAAATTAAATTAATTGTTACATTATAAACTTAATTTGTACATAAATATGTATAATTTTCATTTTAATTTTACCAAAGGTTCTTCATCTGCTCCAGGATCATCTTTAAATAGTTCTTCTGCACCAAATTTTAATATAGCTGTAAGCTCATCTTTATTAAAAGGAATTGATGCATTTTTAGCTTTCTTATCTAAAACTGTACGACCTGTAGTATCCATTCGTTGAATTACTAAGTGATCCAAAACCATTTTTTGTTTTGCTCTTTCTACAATGTCTTCTTCAACTGACCCTTTTGTAACTAGTCTATAAATATTAACTTGATTTTTTTGTCCAATTCTATGGGCTCTTGCTTGAGCTTGTAAATCATTTTGAGGATTCCAATCCGAGTCAAATATAATTACTGTATCAGCTGTTGCTAGATTAATACCAAGACCACCAGCACGAGTGGATAATAAAAAACAAAAATCTTGGGATCCTTCGGCATTAAAATGTTCTAAAGCCTGTCTTCGGATATCACCTTTAATACTTCCATCAAGTCTTTGAAATGGCAAATGACGATAACTTAAATATTCAGCAAGAATATCTAACATACGAACCATCTGAGAAAAAATTAATACTCTGTGACCAGTTTCTTTCAGACGTACCAATAACTTATCAAGAAGCATAAGTTTACCAGACCCACGTAATAAACTCTAAAATGAACAGAAATATTTGGTTGAGATTTTTTTAATTTGTATTAAGCAAATTAGATTTCACCTGAAGATTGTCATCAGCAGTGTTTTCATTTTCTTGGGGTTTGGTTAAAAGAGCATGATTACAGCATTTTTTTAGTTCAATCATAATATTTAAAAATGTTGTAGATGAGCCTTTAGATCCTTTTCTTAAGGCATTATAGTTTTTAGTTAAAATCCATTTATAATATTTTCTTTGAACAGGAGTCATTTCAACCCTTAATATTTGTTCTACCTATAAAACAAAGTTAATTTATATTAAATTATATATTTTACACTGTACTGTAGAATGGTACAGAACATAAAATTGAACATGGTTTTTGTAGTTTATGAAATGGGAGATTAAAAGGTACACTAACCAGTTGTTCAGGGATATCTAAGGTATCAGTAAGGTCATTTATTATTGTAAATTTTCCAGTTTTTTCCAATTATGAAAACTTATTGGGAAATCAAAAATGACCCTTCTTTGTGAGCAACTAGATCCAAATTACAAAAATGTAAAATCATGAAATCATTACACAGTAAATATATATTTTTTTTATCCCCACATCTTTTTTTTCTAACTTTCTTAATAATTATGAATCAAAAAACTACCCACTTAAAGTATCACACCATTCAAATTTCCTTTTAGAAAAGGTGCTAAACTCGAAAATCAAAATAAAAATTTGGGTAGATATTTTGTACACAGCCTAAAAAAATAAACATCACTGCAAAAGCAATACCGTTGTTCTTTGCTTCTCTCAGATTCTAAAATTATATGTATACATATTTTCTGTGATCTGCTTATGTTAAGTATTTTGGTTGAATGTACATTTATGGTCTATTTACATACAACAGAGACGTGCTAGTACTATTATAGTGTATTATAGTTAAAACTGGGAAAAGTCAATACCTAACAAAAATCATGGCCTTGAAATTAGAAAAATATTGTTTGAATGAAAATCTCACTATTACGGCATAGCGGCAACAGCACTGTATACAACAGTACAGTTACGCGTCAGACGAATGAGAACAAGCTTATTTTTCCTCTAAAAATATTATTAAACTCACTGGTGGAATTTTTCATGATTTTTATACCATAAATATTGTAAAACCAAATTTTAGAGGGTTGGATTTTAAAGGTAGGAACACTTGACACTGGGAGAGCTTGTATACCGTATTATAATAGTTGCTTGCAAACATCTTGGCAATACTTTTATGCCTTTATGTGCGTATTTGCAGACAATTTATATTAATATAAAATTAATAACTATTGTTAATCTACAGATATATAGGTATATAAAAATGAGTTAATAATTTGTTGACGACGTCAACTTAACTTGATACAATCCAAATTTCCAACTTTTCGTAAGAATTTCTAAAATTTTTCTTTCATACAGAGGTTTATTTTTCAAAATAAATAATTCACTATTATTATGGAAACATGTGATGGCAGAAAAACTGGACATCAATTATCAAATTATTTTTATTGATTTGCAGGTAACATTGGTGATATGAATGAATTAAAGAAAAAAGTATTGAAGTTTTCATACAAAACTACCATTTAAAGTTACAACTTGTCCAGAGGATTTTTCAAAAATTGTCAAATCTGTGTATCTGTTTTCTAGTTAATACATCAACATTAAAAATCTATTTTTTTAAACATAACTGTTATTTTTATTTGGATACTTGGATTTTTATTTATTCATTTTCTATCAGATACTTTAATTTTAGGACAACTTACATGGACTATCTTACTATTTCTTTATTTTTTATGTTTTATTAGTATCACCAAGGTAAATCATAATTTTATTGCTGTATTAAATATACCAATAACTATTTGTTAACCACCTAACCGGTCCAATTGTGAATTCTAACCATTCAAGAACCCATTGAAACACACAAATAATTTCATCAAAATTAGTCTAGCCATTTAAAAGGAGTTCAGTGGCATACAGACAGAAAAAAATTATATACATGCATATTTAAATAAATATATACATTTTATATTTTAAGAACAAAAATATTGAATTAATATTATTTTTAAACTCTTCTACTCTTTCGCCTTCATCCCAAATATTAACTATTATATTATAAATGACATAATTGATTAGTTTTAGTGCATTCAAACCTATGCAAAGAATATAAGTAAAAATCATCATATAACCTATCAATATAAAAGTTGATTTATTCGACAAGCCTTTATTATTAAAAATTTACATTATATAAACACAATTAAGATTTGAATATTATAAATCAGCGATCAAAAATAAAATCTACATACTTTCGCTGGTAACGACTTTTCGACATCTTTTTTAACACGTCGTAAAATGTATGGCTCAAGTTGTCTATGGAGTTTTGTATAACCTTTACTGGCGGCATTGTCATGCATATGCTCAAACTCTTCCCAGTTATCAAATCTATAATTTATAAACCGATAGAATATAAATTAAATAAATTATAAGACTACTTACTTATCAGGCATTATGAAATGTAATAATGCCCACAGTTCTTTTAAACTATTTTGTAAAGGGGTTCCAGTTATAAGTAGCCTATGATTAGTATCAAATCCTTTAAGAGCTTTGTACAAAAGTGAATCATCATTTTTCAGACGATGAGCTTCATCAACCATCAAAACAGCCCAACTAAGACCATTTAAAAGTAAACTATCTTTGAGCACAATCTCATATGTAGTTAGTATTGCATTAAATTTCAGTCTTTTAGAACTCTCAAAACACCATTCCGTTTCTCGTATCTGTAAAACAATTTAATGATATAGAAACATATTTTTAAAAAAATGTGTACATTACTCACGATGTTACGAGATTCAACATCTCCAATATATGTTACAATGTTTATATCAGGAGCCCATAAACTGAACTCCCGTTGCCAAGAAGGCATAGTTGATAAAGGAACAACAACTAGGAATGGACCATGCATTTGATAGTTGTGAAATAAATAATAAAGATAACAAATGGTTTGAATGGTTTTGCCGAGACCCATTTCATCAGCAAGAATAACAGAATTATCCTTACACCAAGAATGAATAAGCCAATTCACACCATGTAACTGATAATCTCGTAATTTCAGTTTCTAAACAATAATTTATTTATAATTATTAATTAATTAATCCTATACATTTTATTTAAAAACAAACCTCGTCATAACCACCAAAATAATCAGGTTCTTCAGCAAGTTGGACAAATTTTGGGCGATATTTTAAGGCTCTACACGCTTTTGATGGCGTTCTTTTTGAGCCCTCTCGATCCCTGAATTCCTTTATTTTCTGTGGCCATTTACGCTCTATAAGTGCAGCAACTTCCCAAGTAGCATCACTATAAGGCAATGATTGCCATTTCACATAATATTCTTTTTGTACTGCATTTTTGGATTCTCCTAAAAAACATTTAAAAATACTAGTATAGTTGCTTAGTATAGAGTATTATAATATAAGTATCAGTTTAATTTTTTTAAGTTTTATAGCAAATGGAAATTTGTATAGTTAAATTATTTTGTACCTTTAAGTTAATACATCTGAAATATACTATAGCTGTCTTGTGCAGCTTTATACAAAAAAAATATTGAGAAAAATAATAATAAAAAGCACTACCCTGTGCCCACCCTATCCTTATAATACTTAAAAGTTGTTTCCAGGAAATTTATTTTTAAAACAATATTTCATAGCCCACGACAAGTCAAAATAATTAACTATAACCATTTTTATTCCATATGCCACTTTGGTAGGTGGGAACTTGTGAAAGGAAAATACAAAAAGTTATTTAACCTAGCCACATTCTCAAATAGGGGGTCGTGATATCCTCGGGGTCTCCAACCATTTTTTTAGGGTCGTCAATACATAAATTATTAGGTAATATCAAAATAGAAGGGTTATTCAAAATCTAGTGACATTAAAGGGGGCCGTGGCATCAACAAGATTAAGAATCATTGATTTAACTCATTAACACCAATAATTTTTTAATATAACGCCAAAAACCAGAACTTGAAAGGTAAATTTAATAAATTATACGAGACAAAAGTGTAAATAACGTTAGCAAAGATAGAGCATAGCAAATGAAAAATGATTCAGAGCGAAATTCAGTTAAACATGTTTTGAAAGACTGTAAAATTTAGGATTTTCATCAAAATTTGATACTACAAGTTTTATATACATATAAAAAAAAATACATTGCACTCAATTTTTTTATTTGATCACTAAGAACAACTTATAATGAACCTCCTGTTAAATTTTAAAGCAATTCTGTTTGGTCAAACAATTTTATCAAGACTACCTATCAAATAAAAATGACGTTAAAACCTCTCAAAATTAAAATATCTGTAACTAGCTCAAAAGTTTTTAAAAATTTTACTATGTCTAGTTAAGGGAAATAAAAGTTTTCTCTCTAAATTTCAAGTCTCTATAAATAATTTAAACTGAATTCCAACATAATAATAAAATTATTATTTTCATACATTTTTTCATTCTTCTGTTTTTTGTTTTGCTCAAATATTAAAAAAAACTACAGTATGACTTTCCAACTTGATTAAAAATGTATCAAAAAGAAAAAAAACATTTTTTTTTTATTGAAACAATATTGCTATAGAAAGAAGAGTGTACACATTTAAAATAAAAGAATTTGTTTGTTTTCATTTAACATCTTTTTTCAGTTATTCCTATTAAGAAATATGGACAATCAAAATATAATCTCAATATACCAATTAGATAAAATTTCCTTTTAGTAAAGGTGCTGCACTTCATTCGTTTGAGAAAGTTTCTTATTTGAAAATTTATACACAATAAAACCAATAGATCTTTGCTTCTTTTAAATCTAAAATAATTTTATTTTCATTCCAAAAATACTGTGTTAATTTTAGTGGTTAAACTGCTGTATTATGATTTTGAGGTGTAAACCGACTAATTGACTTAATAAGCAAAACACTATGCAAGATTTAGCTTCGCATTGCTCACTAACAAACACAGACACTTTCTTTTATTAATATAACTAGTTAACTTTAATAATAATACCTATTATTCTTTCAACAGTATTGTAGCTTTTTAACAAATCCTGTTGAAGTTCAAGTTGACATTCATAATACTCAGAATCTTCAGGTGTCATTTGATTACGCCAAGCACAAATGGAATCTTCACGTTTCACAAAGTTATCAATTTTCTTAAGCCCTTTAACTTTTTGGGCCTGAAGTGAATTCATAGACTCCCAAGTATTATGAATATGTGACCAACCTTTCCATTTAATTAAATACTGAGTTTCTTGTTCATTGGATTCACACTCAACATTAGGGTCTCCTTTTTCTTCTACTGAGTAAACAGTAGTTATGCCTCCAACAATGCCTATTTTACCTTGTCTACGAGCCAAAACTTTTTCAATTGTTTCTGAAGTATCAGGTGGTTCTTCTTTTTCTTCCACTTCTTCTCTTTCCAAGTAATCATCACTATCACTTTTTTCACTTTCTTCTTTATAACTGACTGCCACTGGTCTTCGTCGGGCATTTCTTGAAAAAAAAAAAAAAAAAAAATGTATATATATTTATTATTAAACTATAGTTTTATTATATATTAAAATACAATTAAATCACAATAAAAATTAAAAAACATTAATAGGTGATAACTAACCTAGATTTACTATATTCTTCATCATCACTATTAGCACTAAAACTACTATTTTTTTTTTTATAACGTGGATTAACTTTGGTTGTAGGACGTCTTATAGGTTGTTTTTGACGGCGTAAAGCAGCTAATGATTTACTTCGGGGTACTTCTTCTTTATCAGTTTCAGAATCGTAATCTGAGCTATCACTTTTCCATTTTCTAAACATTAAAAAAAAAAAAAAAAATAATAATAATAATCACTTGCAAATGTACCATTATATATATATTTTTAAATAATATAAAAATTAACACTTACATCTTTTTGGTATCTTGGGAACTATAATCACTTGATTCTTCACTATCACTAAGTTTAGATGTTTTAACCACCCTTTTGGGTCGCACTGAAGGACTATATTCATCAGTTGATTGTTCAGAACTGTTGGCTTCTTGAGAAATGTGTTCACTATGGTCAGATTGACTATCAACAAAAAATGTGGTTTAAACTATAAATAAAATTTTAAACTATAAAAATAGTTATGTGAACAAAAATAAATAATAAATAATTGCATTTTATTATTCTAATTAATTTTAAATATTAGTTTCAATGAAGTAGCTGTCCATGAATATTTTAAATGTTTTAAAAAGAAGTTTATAACTCTAGACTAAGTTTCTATATATATTTTCTTTAATTTGAAAATTCCTTTTAGCTATTTTTATTTATATTTATCTAACAGATTTACTTAAATTACTTAATAAAGTTACCAATTTAATAGTTTTTTTTAAAATAAATTTTAAACATTTTTATAAACAGATTTCAATGTAAAAGATACTTTAAAAACAAAACTTTTATTTTAGATATTTCCCTGATCTCTATCTGTTGTTAGTTTTAATTACATATTTATACATTATACAAATTAATAGTTTAAATTTAGGCAACTCAAAATATTATTTTAAGAAATTTTGGTTTTAAGGTTTTAAATATTCTTCAGATTGTCAATCATTTTATGTATGAATTTGAAATGTTTTTATCTTATTATTAAAGGTCGTGATGCATCTACACCTAAACAAATTAGAACTAGAAAATTTGAAAATGAATATTTAATATTTTTCTCAAATGTTTAAAGCATATTTTGATTATTTTTCAAGGATATTATTTTGTGAATACGTTTTTTTTTTGGTAAATTTTTTGGGCACTTAAGTCCAAGCATTAAAAATAATTTGGTTTTTTAAGTACTACAAATATTTTATAATGAAATTATTTCAGTATTCCTTGATTTAAGCTAACCTAACTTAAATAGCGCCTTTCAATAACTTATCGAGTATGTTGACTTTTTACACGGAGTTTTAAAAAGATTAAACAACTTAAAATTATTTTATTAAATTGTATGTAAGATTATTAGTGACAATGTTTCTAAACCCAGAGTTTAATAATATTATGTTATAATAAATGTGTTTAAAATAACCATGTACGTTATATATACATATCTACAATATGGAGTCGAATGGAAGTTTATTAGTGGCCAACTCCAAAACAAAAATAAGTAATAAGCAAAGGTGTACGATTTTTGAGTTGTTATACTAGTGCATAATATATTGTTATTTCCTAGTTATTAATTTATCAATAGTTTAGGTAGGTATAACCTAAACAACAAGTTTATTAGCCTTTAATTATTTACATAATCTTAATGCAAAAGCTTTGCAGATATAGGGTTTAAGAATGACACTCAATGTCACGGCATCACTACAAGTAAGTATTAATAAATTTATATAATTTTTAATACAAAAATAATTGATTTTAATAAATTACTTGATGTAATACAGAATGACATTTTTATAAGTTACAAAATTTTAATCAGATCCAATATTTTGTAAGAAAAAAAATATGCCCAACATAATTTTTAGTTTTGTAGCCAAAGCGTAACTAATATAATTTGTTTGTATGTCACAGGCTTATAACTTTGTAATTTTTTTTTTTTTTTCTATAAATTTTGATAATATTCTATAGAAAGATATTATGTAAACTTCCATGAAATTAATATAATAACATAAAACTGAAGGATGAACATTTTTTTCGCATATGTAGTTGGAAAGATCTTTAAAAATTCAATAAGTTCTTATATGATACTTACATATGAATATTTTGCTATGTGCAAACTCTTAAATTCGATAACAATATGTATCTATTTTTAACTTCCTAACCATGTGTTTAAAAATTCTAACAATTCAATTAAGTATCATCTGTAAGACACAACAGATTAGTTTTTACACTAATGGACGTGAAGACAAATGAAAAAAAATATTATTAGTTATGATGTTCATGTAATCCATAAATAGCTATTAAAAAAATAACTGTACTTTTGTATATAAAATACTTATAATTATGTAGATTTATGTAGATCGTAGTTAAAAAGGATGTACAATCGCTAGGAGGAACGAATTGGAAAGAAAGAGCAATGGATAGAGAAGAATGGAGGAACGGGTGTGAGATGGGATGGTCTTGAAAGGCCTTTAACCAGAAACAAGAAGAAGAAGAAGTATGGCTCATAAAGAAAGATCATTTTTCGAATTTCTCAAGAATTTTATCATCAAATGCAAAAAATCGAAAAAAAAATGGAGGAAAAACGGGAAAATGTACGAAATGTAGATATTAGCTACAAATATTATGGCCTTTTTTTCTGTCAACAATTCTTCTTCCAGAAATTTTGCTCCAAATTGTTTACAAAACATCACTATCAACTGAACTCCACTCAGAATCGTTTTTTCGTTGATAAAATAGCATTATGTTTCTACCTTTCTGACTTTCCACCTACAACAATAGCGCATCCATCAGCAGTGTCAAATCTTTTTTTTTATAATAAGCCAATTTTATTGTATACCTATAAGGTGTATTGTGTTAGAAAATATTTCTAAAAAAGAAAGATAAGATAATAGGAACGGGTGCAGCACTGGTATAGGTGAGAAATGGAGAAGGTAGGATACAGACGAGAATTTAATGTATATCAAGCAAAGATAAACCATTGCTTACGAAAAAACGATTCTGAATGAAATTCAGTTGATGCTTTGTCAATAATAAATATATTTATTTTCAAGTAAAATAGTTAAATAGGCTTTATATATTTTGTTTAGTAATATTTATTTAACGTTGTACTGATTCCCCAATTTTCCTACGTTTTTCTTTTAGAAACATTGCCACCAATATAAGTTGGAACAAATTCTTTGGTAGAAAAGTTGTGTACCGAGAAAAGAAGGCCGTAATATATTTTAACTAATACCTAAATTACTTATATTTTCTCGGTTTTTAAATTCGATAAGAAAACTCCTGAGAAAATCGAAAAATAACCTGTTTAAAGTAATTCCGTAGTGAAATTTCCTTTAAGAAACATGACTATCATTAAAAGTTGAAGCAAAATTGTTGTTTGACAATATGCGCACGGGAAAAATATATCGTAATATTTAAAGTAATACATTTCATACATTTTCCTGCTTTTAAAAACAAAAAATTTAAAATAACCTCCCTAAAATACCGAAACCGATTTCCTTTCAGAAAAGGGGCTTGGAAACTTTTTCTAAAAATAGAAATGTTTTATAGGCTAATAGGTTATAATTTATTTTAATAAAACGAGTAGTCAACGAGGAGTGTGGTGGAAATTGCACCCTGCGATGTGTAAATAGTAAACCTAGCAATTAATATATGACATCCCAAATAATTTATAAATGTACATAATAATTAAATTAAAATATCGAAAGACTCGATAATATCGAGAGGATATATTTGTAAGGTTGTATCGATATAAAATTTGTCAATAAAACGACTTCATTTATCGAAGATCCCTAACCACATAAAATATTAAAACGAGCTCCTACGTGAAACCGAAACTCCGTTTCTAGTTTCAACTAGTTGTGACAACAAGGCAATGGGCGTGGTTACGACTTACCGCAATGACAGAGCGGCGGTAAAACGCAAAACGCCGTTTCTCGAGCGTCGCACACGTTTCATTTCTACTGTGACGCCATCTTAATGAGTACCTGTCTATAAAATTGGCTTAGAAACAGTTCAGACGTTCAGTGTTGTTTTCTGACTTAAACTGTTATTTTATTTAATATAAGTAATAATAATAATATGATATAAATATTTAATTAGATATATCTTCGTTCACCATGAATTCACGCAATAATCAAGTATTTACGGTCATAATACTCGTGATTGCCATGCCGTGCATACATGCCAAGCCGCGCGCTTTCGAGTCATTGAAAAGTACGTACGAAAAAAACTGATAGTCATCTGTTTATTGATTCATAAAAAAAAAAACAAGTGTAATAATATTTTTAACAACATGTGTAATAGGATGATAATATGATTTCACGCGTGTTATAGCATTTTTAATTTGCATATTTTAGGGTTTTTATACAGGTACCTACCCGTACCTTAGGTCGAATTTTGGATTTTTTTTTTTTGTTTTTAATACGGTTGGTAGAAATTTAAAATTAGGACTTAATTTTTAAAAAAATACGATATAATTAGTAATATAATAGTAATTACTAATATTTAGTATTCCATATAAATCTCGAACAAATATTGTTGTTTAAGATTTATTCTTACTTTCTCTTGAATCTAAATCACTTATCTATAAACAAAAATCATATCTAAAGCCTCGATTACACAGTGCGATTTTACACGCTAGTCGCCGGCGATTAAAGTCGCGCGCGTCTGAGCGTGTAGCGACTTGTCCGATTACATTGAGCGATTAAATTCGCTCAGTCACTCGCTAGTCGCGCACACGCATTCATGTGATACATGTGACAAAAAGTTGTAATATATATAATTCATTCGTTTTCTTTTATATTTAAAATTTAAAAATTAATGATGAAGTGAAATTGTGATAATATTGTTGACTTTTTAAAAATATACGAACAATATCCATTACTCTGGAATATAAAGCACAATGACTATTTGAATATAAAATTAAAAAATGAAATGTTTCAAATGTTGTTTGGAGACCTTGAGAATGAAGGATTGGTAATAGGAATAGATGAAAAGCAACTGAAGGCAAAAATAAAAAATTTAAAGGACGTATACAGAAATAAGCTAGCAAAAATTGAAAAGAATAAAAAAAGTGGAAGTGGTACAGATGAGTTATATTCTCTAAGACTTACGTGGTTCAACTCTGCCAACTTTTTTCGTGAAGTTTTATCTACGAGACACAGCCAGTCAAATTTGGTAAGTTTGAATATTATATAGTATAATAATATTGTTAGTGTTATAAATTAATAATTAATACCAATATTCAAAGTATACAGAAACTATTTTCTATTTATATATTTTGTTTAATTTTATAGATATAAATGTAACGCAAATGAATAGCTTAACATGTATTTATTTGCTAATTTTAATTATACTTAAAATTTAATTTTTCATAATTGATTACATAAAAGTACTTAAATAAATTCATTAGGTATTTTTATATAGTTATACCAACTTTTTCCCATTGCCACGGTAAAGGATTTTCCTTTATAAAATATTTTGCCAATGAACTCCTAACATCTTCTGCAGCTCGTTTATAGTTGTTGCTGCCCATTCTATTGACAGCTTCTAGATTATTCACGTGTTCTCTCCATTCCCCAGGAATAATATTGCCGTTGTTAAAATCCTCTTGGTCAACTGCTTGTGGAGGTATATAGCTATTTGGAGTAGTTTTACGTAGCCAGTTGTGTAGACTGCAAGCTGCATATATTACTTTATCTATTGTTTTACGCTGTACAAAGGCAGATGAAAAAGAGTTAGAAGTATTTGAGAGAAAGATATTTGGCCCAAAGAAAAACAATGAAGGAGAATATNATAACGAAACCAATATTGTAGGGATCTTGAAAAGCGCACGAATAGGCTGGGCTGGATATGTATAGATATCAAAAGGACTAATCGGACAAATAACTACATGGAAACCAAACGCAAAGAAGCCCAGAGGACGTCCTAGACAGAGATGGTCAGATAGAATAAAAGAAGACCTAAAGAGGTTGGGAGTAAGGAACCTAAAGAGGTTGGGAGTAAGGAATGCTGAAGAAACGGCACAAAATAGAGAAGACTGGAGAAAACGGCACAAAATAGAGAAGACTGGAGACAATATGTTGTTGCGGCAATGGGCCTAAAAGGCCTGTAAATAGCCAGAGAAGAAAAAGATTTTCTCCCATGTGAATAGTAAGATAATACTGAAAAAAATGATAACCGTGTTCAAATTAAATTGTTTTCTTTTAATCTAATAAGTAAGCTATAAGTTCACATCCATCAGCAGTATCAGCTTTTTTTTATGTAAATAAAACAATTACTATTAGATACGATATTAACAATTTTATTGTTTAAAATTGTTTTCAGTATTGTTGTTTACCAGATATCTTATGAAAATATAAACATTGTATTTATAACCTTGCTCCAAATATTAAGGAATTTTTTAAAATATCTGAGTAGTTTTCTTAATGATGAGAAAAACATATAAAAAAGAAAACGGAACGGGATAGTTTACATAAACTGTCACAAATTTAAAAATATTAATGGTTTCAAGAAAAGTATTTTTTTAGTTAATAAAAAATACAAAAAATGGAATAATATACTTTTATTTGAATACTTTACAACACTGTATTTATATATATAGATAACATCTAAACTCATTTAATTAAAACTCATAGTTTCTACTTTTCTAGAAATTAATTTGTTCTTTTTATAAATTAGTAATAAATTAGTGAAGGGACTGTATAATAAATTACTGGATGTAATTCAAACAGTTCAAAAAGAACACGAACAATTTCTCACAACCATAGAACCAATACTAAGCACACCACTCAAGGAATCAGAGGAACACATGCGTCAGGATCCCTTCAGCCCATCACCCAGTACATCCGAAATTGATAAGATGTATAAGATAAATAAATCCAAGAAAAATTTAAAAAGTTTAATTATTTAAATAAAATAGTTTTAACAATCTTAATTTTAATAATATTAATATCATGTATTTTAATAAATATTTATAATTATAATATTAATTCATGTAAAATTAAAAATGTAATCATAGTAAATCAGTTACTTTTGAAATTTGGATTTGATCATTTAAAAAATCACATGTTTCATTATCATTAAATGTTTATTTAATTAAAATTATATCCTTAATCTTTGATATTGAAGTTTCAATCATACTAATAATCTAGAATTTCAAAATTTCAAATATAATTAATTTTAATATAATATTTATAACATTTTTCATTTTTATAGTATTAAATATTTACTATGAATGAAAATGTGGTTCTCTAAACATTATAAGGATAATAGTTAATATATATATCATTTAATTTGCTTTTAAAAATTATTTAACACATTTATCCCAATAATAAATATGAAGTAAAAAAATGTACACATTAATTTCGACTTAATAATATATGATGGATCAATTAAAATCCTTATTTTTAATTGATTCCAAGAATGAGGTTTATTACTGTTAATTATAATATTGAAAAAAAATCCAATTAAAAAGATTTTAAAAAAGAAGCTGCTTATTTATTAGTTTTATAAAAATATAAATTGATATTGTAAATCAAAATTATATATTATTTAAAATAATTATATAAATGATAATTAAATTAATTATAATAATAAATTTGACAATATCATTAATTTTTGATTAACATAATCACTCCTTAAATCTAACATAATTATTTTATTACAAACTATTTTAATTACTATAATAACTAATTAAATCAATAGAATTATGAATCTCAATTATAATTTTTATTTTTATGTAAGAGCTTTAATAATTATTTTTCTATAGAGAAACTTCTATGCTGCAGGAAAGGTTCAACAACTCCTCAATATTATATTTGAAAAAGAAATTTCTAAATCTATTAATACTTAGGGTTCTATCACTGGATAGCCTCCCCCTTATGTGTTCAGGTTGTATAATTATTTATTGTATGTTCATATTTGCTTATTAAACCTTATAGCATAGGTTGTAAATAATCTATAAATAAAAAAATTAAAATTAAAAAAATCTATTAATACTGAAACAATTGTTACATTTGCACAAAAAAAATAAAAATAATTTAGTAGCTATTCAATATTTTATTTTTTTATGTTCCTATTACCTATATATATATATAGTGCCTCAGCTTGAATCAAGTAGGAGTAGCCACTACAGTTAGTGGTAGCGTCGGAAGCGACTAAAAATATTTGCTTCCGCAAATGAATAAGACAAAAATGTTAAGCCCCTCCACAGATAAAACCAAATATCCGCCAATGCTTAACTTTATCTTTATAATTGTTATAGTTTATGATTAAGTATTATTGAATTATACTTTAAAAATACTTCGTGCGCTAAAAGCAATTTTCTTTTACTTTATATTCTTTTATTCTTGAGTATATATCAGTGAAGATGCCGAGATATTTGTCGTTATTTTGAAGGTAACAAGGCATTATTGGGCTTTCTCTCAATCCTGTACTCTCATATCGTGGTCAATTGATTAAGACGCATTTAGGAATATAGAGCAGTTAGCACTTTCCCTGTACCTGACCTCATTATCGTGGTTGTTTAGCTAAGGCAGTGGTGCACAACCAGGGGGTCGCGAAAATTTATTAGGGGGTCGCCAATAATTTTACACCAAATGAAAAAGTTATATACTATGTATATTATTTTATAGTTTTATACAAAGTAAAATTATTTTGTACCGTTATGGCTGTGTCAATCGTAATATGTTATCGTAAAATTAATATTGCGATAACAAGTTCTTTTTAATCACGCAGTATACGGGTTATTTTTAAATTTAATTTAATCAGTAATTTTATTTAATCTCATGGTTATTATGAAATAGTCCGATAGTCATGTACGAGTCGTTGAGTTAATCCTTATAATTATGCTTATAATTTTGTATAGTTTGTATTTTGTATTATTTTAATCTAATATTTTTAATATTTTATAATATATAAATCAAAACATCGATATGGATAAATTTTTATTTAAACGACCGATGAATAGTGATGATGAAAGTGTTATAGAAACTAAAGTTCGTAACTCAGAAATGTCGTCAGATGTAAAAATCAGTCGAGAATGTTTGAACCAAAGAGTTAATAAAAAGGATCGTAAATACCAAGACAGTTACATCAAGTTTGGATTCACTTTCGATGTTGAAAAAGGTGAGCCAAAATGTGTTATTTGTTTAGAAAGATTAGCTTCAGAAAGTATGAAGCCATCAAAGCTAAAACGACATTTAGTAACTAAACATCCCCAATTCCAACATAAAGAGGAAGACTTTTTTAAAAGGTATGAAAATTCGATAAAAGTTCAAAAAAATACTANCTGGTCAATGTGTGTGTCATATGCACTGACGGCGCAGCTGCCCTTACTGGTTCAAAAAAAGGTTTTAAAGCTAAGGTTTTAGAAGTGTCTTCAAATATAATGTTTAACCATTGTATGATTCATAGAGAAGCTTTAGCTTCCAAAAAACTTCAACCAGATGTTAATAAAGTACTCCTTAATGCTATAAGTGTAATAAATTTTATAAAATCAAAGTCATTAAATTTCAGACTTTTTACTACACTTTGCAATGAAATGGGTTCTGACCATGAAAAATTGCTTCTTCATACTGAAGTAAGGTGGTTGTCTCGTGGTAAAATATTATCACGCCTTTTTGAACTCAGAGATGAAGCACGAATTTTTCTTCTGGAACGTAATAATAAACTTTCGGAACATTTTTTAGACAAGCAATGGCTTGCAATTCTGGGTTATCTTGCAGATATATTTGAAAAACTAAATTGTCTAAATTTAAGCCTACAAGGGAAAAATACTAATATTTTATTTCTTTCTGATAAAATCAATGCTTTTAAAAAGAAAATTCTTCTGTGGAAAAATTATATCGACGATGACAAATTTTAAATGTTTTCATGTTTATCAAAATTCTTCAGTGATAATGATAAGAAATCCATTTCATTTTAATATCAATGAAATAAAATTAGGAAATTTAAAAATAAGCGAAGAACTAATTGACTTGTCATCAGATGAAACTCTACGTATCAGATTTCAAGAAAATGCATGTGATACATTTTGGATTTCCATCAAATTTGAATATCCAGAATTATCAAAACAAGCCATATCAATTTTACTTCCTTTTGCATCAACTTATTTATGCGAAACAGCATTTTCAACACTAACGATAATTAAAAACAAATATCGCTCCAGATTAAATGTTGAAGCTGATTTAAGAATAGCAGTGTCAAATATCAAACCAAACATAGAATCAATCATGTCTACAATGCAAGCTCAGGTCTCTCATTAAAATAATTAAATAGTAATTTTATAATTTTAAAAATATTAAAATTTTGATTATCATTATAATAATACATTTTTTAATTTTAGATTTTATAAAACTCTAATTTTGTATTTTTTTTTTTTTCATGTTATTGATTAATTAAATTAAAGAAATATTAAAATCGCCTAAAATTAACGATTTAATCTATATGAATAAAATGTTTGTATACATTAAGACTATTAAGAAAATTTATATTATCCACTTACATAATGTTGGTAGGAAGAGGGGTCGTATTATCAAAATAAATCATTTTGGGGGGTCGTGGATCAAAAAAGGTTGCGCACCACTGAGCATCTAATTCTAGAGTAGATATTTAGTGTTAGACCGTCGCGACGCATAAGAAATAACATTCCTTTGGCCGTCCAGTCAGTAAAGTTAAGTACTGAGGTTTTCGGAATTCACTTTGTGATTCCTAATGTATATGTCCAAGAAAGAACTTTGCGTATACAACAATACGCATGGCTAAATATATAGGTATCATCCCAATTTTGTGATACGCAGGTGCAATGGCAGTGATTCCCGCTTTATTTCAATCTAACTGATAATAAATATCACTTCCAGCTGAGTTTTCTCTTCATAAAAAACTATAGAATAAATACAATATGTCGGATTTGTTATCAGGAGCAGTTAAAAGGGGGAGGTAGAAGGATGTCACCCTCTTCCCATACGTCTGCGGAACTAAATAATAATTGGAATTTAATTAAATTTATTTATTACAATTTGCAACCTCATACTTGTGTGAGCTTGGATTTTCAACATTGACGAATATCAAAACAAAGAAACGAGAAAGTCTGAAAAATATTGAAGAGAAAATGAGAGTAGCAATATCCTACATACGGCCAGATATTGAAAATATCTGTACAAATCATCAGGCACAATTATACAAATATCTCATACAAAATATTCAATTTCAAATTTTTTTTAACTTTTTTTATTATTTTATTATTTTTTAGTGACTAACACTAACATGTATGGCATGCAAAAAATTTTATGATATACATTCATTGTTTAATATATTAAAAAATTACAAAATGTATGTATTACTATTTTATTTTACGATTGTGTTCCGCGAAAATCTTATAAAATGTTAAGTGTTCCGTCATTCGAAAAAAGTTAAGAACCACTGCTATAGATAAACGAACACACTATGTTATCGCAATAATAATAATATTCGTGTATTAATATAAAATTACAAAAAATTCTTTAAATATATCTCTTACTTTAATTCATTCTGTATTTATAAATCCACCTTCTCCAGAAAATAACCTCATGTTATTATTTTGAGTTAAACATTCTTGAACAAATTGGTAATATACTTTTCCGTTATTTTCCAAATATACATTCCGTAACATGTTGTGTAAAAAATACGAAACAATGATTAAATTATCAATAAATAATCATCAATCAAAATTTAAATAATCATTGCAATATTGTCTATTGAACTTTTTCATTTTATTCTCTTGCGGTGAAATTGGTTTGCAAATTTGGCTCTACATATATATGTGAGAAAAGTTTTTCAAGGATGACTTTCATAAAAATAAGTATAGAACCAAACTAACGAATTCTCATTTGAAAAATTTAATGCTTCTATCTTCAACTAAACTTAAACCAAATTATGAAGAGATAATATCCATGAAGCAAAAAAATCTAAAATTTATATTTATGTAAACATTGTAAGCTGTAAAGAAATAAATATTTTTTAAGGCACATTCTCAATTNCTTCGCTTATCGTACTTTCCTACTACCTGGAAATCTTCTGTCATTGTCACATTCCTCAAACCTGGCAAGCCTCCTGAAAATCCCTCCTCTTACAGGCCTATTAGCCTACTACCGGTATTGGGAAAAATTCTTGAAAAAATTATTCTCAAGCGCATCACCACTGTAGCACAAGCAAATAACAGTATCCCAAACTTCCAGTTTGGCTTCCGTTCCCACCATGACACAACTCATCAACTTCATCGGGTTGCGGATATCATCTCAACAGCACTTGAAACCAAACAATACTGCGCCGGAGTCTTTTTAGATATTGCTAAAGCGTTTGACACCGTTTGTCACAAAGGTCTTCTTTTTAAACTCAAAAATATTTTTCCTGCCCCATTATACCCCTTATAAAAGCCAAAATGTTAAGACAATGGAACTAAAAAATTTTTTCCACTGATTTTAAAATTTTGGCGGAACAGGTAGGTAGTGTGTAGAAAAAAACTAATGGTGAACCTATTTACATAAGATTAATCTAGTCATTCCGAAGCAGTAATAAAAGCACAAAACCAACAAACAATTAAAATAGTTCAAGTAATAATTTATATTTATATTAATTATGAATTATAGTTTTGAATAACTTGTTGAAAGTTAATATTTGTGTTTGTATTTGTATTTGAACGAAAATCTATTAAACAATTAAATATCAACTGAAACAATTAACAAATAGTATTATACTTCATGTTTATTAAATTTGTTTGTATCCTTATTTATAGTAGGTAATTAATAACATAATAAATACACATTTTATAATGGATTAACGTAAAATTATTTATATTTTGGGAGCAGAATTCGCTTATAGAGATCGTCAAGCCTGTCTTAGTTACAGGGGACTTTAATAGCCACAACACTACTTGTGAGTATGATAGTAGTGATAAGACTGGAGAAGTTCTCCATGACTGGATCTCTGCATGTGACCTTTATATACTTCAGGATCTAAAAAACCCATATACTTTCTGGTCAGCTAGATGGAATGCAGGTTATAACCCGGATATAACTATGATAGTGACATACTATACCCAGCAGAAATGTCGATCATCGATTCCTTTCCCAACAGCCAACACAATCAAGGTTATTATTATTAAGATTGTGATTAATTTTCTATTGAATAGTTGGCGACCAATCCCCAGATGGAAATTTCGTAAAGCTAACTAGGAAGAGTTTAAGGAGTATACAGAAAATGTTAGTGTTTATAATATCTATTAAAGAGTCTTATTTTAGGTTTAGATTTAAAAGTATATTTCATTAGTTCATAATATGAAAAAAATTACTATTCAAAGTGTTAATATCTTATTTTAAATCACAATGATAAAGAAATGGCACAAAAGAGGTTCCATTTGATGAATAATAATAGGGTTAATATTAATTATTTAATATTTCTATATAATCAGGAAAATTCTATTAATTAAGACTTTACCTGATTGAATTGAACCAATTCCATAGGCTAATAGGTTTAATATATAGTCAACTTTTTAAATAAATCATCACAGTCACGTTCTTTACAATCACTTCCACTCTTGTTATTGGAATATTCCTTACTTTTATATTTATGTTTTAAAAATTTCCATTTTGCTCATTTGTTCAATAGTTTTATTGTAGCCTTTAGCCATCATTTCTATTTGAATAGATTCCAATACCTAGAACAATGAAAAATAAAGTTTCACTTACAACTTGTACACTTACATTTAGTTTCAACGCTAATAATTATTATTACTTGTCCATTTTTGTATCATTTCATATCTAAAGTTAAGGTTATTCTCTTTTGAAACTTTCCAGCATAGTGCTTACTTTGCCTTTGGTTCAGGTTACTCTTTTCTGTTTAAGAAACATTATAATAATACAATAAATTAATAACGGCTATCTTGACTCATTAGCTGCTAATTTCAAACAGTTCGATGTATTATAATTATTACTCGTATTATTATAAAATCGCATTTACACTTAACGTTAACAAATTATTATTTTCATCATGAATGATAATAAATTGTGTAATCAAGACAAAAATACTGATAAAATGATAAAGTTTTAACAAAAACGTGTTATATGTTAATGTGATAAACCAATTTTAAGGCTTAAAACAGTCTTAATTTCTTAAACTACCTAATGCTAAAACGAATTAGTATTTTCAAACCGTTTTAAAGTGTTTACATGATAAGAAAAAGTTTTAGTTTCAAAACGATTTAATTTCAAACCGTTTCAACGCCATCATAAAAACTTACTAATTTAAGGATCAACCAAACAAAAAGCGAGCTGCCCGCACTGCTGACCACCGCAAGCTGTTATGTCAAACAACGGTCGGACAATTAAACGCGGTCTACGTGTAACTGTGTACACTGTTTAAATACACGATTAGAATTTTCATTTAAAATTATGTTTAATTTTCTTTATGACAAAAATTCCAAAATATCAAAAATAATATCTATTATCTAGTAATGGTTCTGATGAAGAACTTCTTCTTCGCATTGTATTGAAAAACAAAAACATTCCACTTCTCTATTTTTTAACAGTATACAGTTTTATACTCCCCATAACGGGTATCATATAAATATGGACAATTATGTACCTGATCAATTAATTTTTCTCAGTTTCATCTGTTATAATGATAGAATAATTTGTTACCGCCGCGATCACTGTAAAATAATATTACAACTACACCAATAACCGCGCTTTAGTTAACCACGATGACGCAATCCTAGATAACACAGTTTCGTGACGAACAACGCAAATAACCCGCTTTCTGTTAGAGAGTACGTTAGATTTTAACTGTATTACGTACATACACATTCAGGAATGCATTTCATTCGGATATTTTAGTAATATCTAAAGGAAAGGAGCTCGTGTTGTGACAGTGGTTATTTCAATAAGCACGCTAGTAAGTCATCACTGGTGGTGAGACTGGATGTAAATGTCGGTCGGTCGCTCCGCGTACGCTCTTTTATGCAGCGCTCGGGCGGCTTTTATCGGTACACAGGTGGGGCACGTGCGTTGTCGCATAGCGTTGTGCGTGTGGGCGTCTGACCGGCTCGTGAGTCTTCTAGAATGTTCTAGATGTGTCGTCGGTGATTGTCGCGAGTCCTGTGTTGTGATACCGTAATTGTAATTAACATCGAACGGCGTTGACATCGGATTCTATAAGTAGGTATTTACTGAAAAAAGACATACATTTTCATATTCACATACTATATAAAATAAATACAAAAAGACTGACATATTTCGCACGTGGGTGAAGCCACTGTTGTTCGTGGGAATTTAGGGAAGGTACTATACAAAAGAGAATTTAATTTATATTTGTAAGCACGAATAAACCATTGCTAAAGAAAAAACGATTCTGAACGGTGTTCAGTTGATAATGGTGCTTAAGTATAGAATAAAGAAATATAATATAAAGATTAATAATTAAAAGAATGTATTGAAATCAAAATTTATTTTATTTTCATATAGTTCGGTCTATATCTAGTATTGCTTTTTTTCGGTAGAAAGTGTTCACATAAAAAAAATAAATATCATTATAAAACCAATACATTCTCGACTCAGCTCAGAATCTAAAATTAATAATTATACACCATGAAATATTTTTATTTTATAACTATACAAAATTAAATGTATTAAGTTGTTAGGTAATAATGTTATTGTTATCAAAGTATTATAATGTTATAATACATAGTTTAGGATTTTAAGTTTTGATAAGCTTGATATTTATGATATTCTAAACATTTTGCATCCCGGCAGGATTTCTAAAATATAAATATAAGCGTCAATACACCTGTTGTCACTTTCGTTAATCCAAATTGATATTAATTTATTTTCTTCAAGCAAAATCATTTATTCTTCAATTTTTTTTTATATTAAATTTTTGAAATTTTTTTCAGGGATATTTAACCCCTGATTAACAATAATATTTAATATAATAATATAATAAAAATAATTATATAATGACAACTGATAGAGTCAAGAGCACAATGTTTTTGTCAATATCTGAATAATTAATAATTAATATTAACGGTTTTTGATTTTTATTGTTAAAATCGGTTTTTTATGCAAACACGTTTTAATATAATTGTAAGCATTGATATGATGCAAGGTTAGCTTACACTTAAGGTACGGTCAAACAGAAAGCGGGCTGGCCACGCCGCTGCCCACCGCGATCTGTGATGTCAAACAACGCGCGGGCAATTTTGCGTGGTCTGTTGTTTAGTGTTGTTTTTGTTACCTAACCTAACGTAACCTTAGAGTTACACCGCATATAACATATTTTTTAACACCGTTTTTGTTCTGAAAAAATCTGATTGGTGACTAAAATTACTTAATTTAAAACTGTGAGAGATGACATCTAGTAGCATTTCTGACAAAGAACGTCTTCTCCCTGCACTGAACAAAACGAAGAAAAGAAGAAAATGGGTGCACGAAATAGATGAAAAAAGAGAAGAATTTCATCACTTCTGCAATGAATTAACTTCTTACGAAGACCGTTTTGCAAGTTATTTCCGTATGACTCGTGAACAATTCGAGGAATTACACGAACTCGTATCACCGGGAATATCAAAGATAACCACTAACTGAAGAAAGCCTATTTGTTCAAAAGAAAGGCTTGCAATTTTTTTAAGGTTTTTATGAACAAACATGCACATTATGAACTAAAAACAAGTTTATATTATAATTGATGTAGGAATAGATTTTTTGGTATAAATTTAAGTAGGTAGGTAAGGAATATAAATAAAACGATTTTGTGGTATTAAGTAATATTTATAAAAATGAAAAAGTAATAAAAATGAATTAATCTTGAGGTATTAAGTAGTATTTAATATATTTTAATGATTTGTACTATGTCTGAGTGTTATTTGGTTGTGTATCAATGAACATTGTCGCGTTTTCGTATAAATCTCTGGTTGACTGAGAAACCTGGTAAGATCCGAGTGGTGACGAAATTGGTGTGTCGGTGCTTAGATGTAGGTTTGAATAGTTGAGTGGATGAATGATATTACCAGTGAAATTATCAGCCCCATTTGAGTTACTATCTGACCAAGACGAAGTTGTTGAGTACATTGGAGAGGATCGAGTTAAAGTACAAGCGTCCACCTCGCTGAGTTCAGCTAGTCCGAACAACAGTGCGACATCTCCATTTTAAGAATGGTTTGTGTTCTTGGCGAACATGTCTTGAAGGTATGGCAAGAACAAACTATCTATGTGGTCAAGTTTTGTATCAGTTTTGCTTTTTATTTTGTTCTCAAGATATGTTATTACAGCAGCGACGTCTTCTGTAACTTCTTTTCCTTTTGGTGTTTTTTTAGGTGGTAGCATTTGAGATAGCAAAGTTACAATGATTTCGCTATCTGCAGTCTCATCCTGTTCATAAGCTTCATCAATGTGCGATATTTCATGGGTCTGTGATACATTTGAAGTAGTCACTCGAGGTACTACTGTATTTTTCAAAAATTCCAAATGAGCTGCCCATGGCCAATTTTGGTATTTTTTTAGCAGATCCGGTTGATCCCTTTAAAAACTTAATATATTTAATATATGAATCATATAGGTTCTTCCATTTATGCTTCACAGTTTCACCTGTTAATTAAAACAAAGTTTAAATAATATAAATATTTGGTTTAACAACCATTGTGATTTAATAATTTAATAATTGTTAGTTTAAAATTGAACTTTAAATTATAAATGTATATTAAATATTTATTATTACTTATTTATTTTGTACGGTAAAAAATATATATAATTATGTGTTTTATATTATACGTTTCAACCCTGATATTTATAGTAAAATAAGTTATACCACGATTAATTACATAGGACCAATTTACGTGAACTCTATCGAGTGTTCATCGCAATTGAGTATTTTTTTTTTGAAATGTATAATTTACTTATTATTTCAGATATTTGGCAACAGGAGAGTCGCACCATACAATAGCATTTTCTTTCAGAGTCGGACGCACTACTGTTTCTAGTATTGTGAAAGAAGTATGTGTAGAGCTATGAAATGTTTTACAACCACTATATTTGGCTACATCTACAGAAGAAGTTTGGAAACAATCAGAAATTGGATTCAGAGAGCGATAGAATTTTCCTAACTGTATAGATAGCATAGATGGAAAACATATAAGAATAAAATGTCCTCCTAAGACCGGGTCAAATTTTTTTTCAATAGTACTGCTTGGCATAGTAGATTCCGATTACAAGTTTTTAGTTGTTGATATTGGCAGTTATGATCGTCATAGTGATAGTAGTATTTTTGAAAATTCATCATTTTATCATGAGTTCGTACGTGACAAAACTATTTTACCACCAAAATCTTTACCTGGAACAACCACACTTGTCCCTCACGTTTTTGTCGAAGATAAAGGTTTTAAGCTCGAAACTTTTTTAATGCGCCCCTTTCCGAGAGCTGTAGTTGCACAAGACGAAGCAAAAAAAAAAAGTGTTCAATAAGCGACTTAGTAGAGCACGGCGTGTAGTCGAAAATGCCTTTGGTATTTTAGACCAATAGAGTTGGATGTAGATACTGCAGAACATGTCGTCAAGGCAGTTTGCTGTTTACACAATAATCTTAGAAGTACCTCAACAATAGTCACAACAGATGAGTCAGAAAAATAGAGTATTTCGTCTGCAGATAGCGCGTTTTCTAACACTCAACGAGTAAGAGAGAGATCTAGTAATGCAGCCACTTCTGTTAGAGAAAACTTCCTTAATTATTTCAATTATTTACATAACTAAATTTTTGATTAATTCATAATTATGTCTTAGATGCATTNCAATATTGTATCACTTTTAGTTTTTTTCCCAAATAATAGTAATAGTAATAATAATGATTATATTTTTAATTAATATACTAATGAAAAATTAAACAAAACGTTTTCTACTTTATTATTTTGATAATATTCATAATTTGATAATTATTTTTACTTACTTGAAAGGTTGAGTATCCCGGCAATTTCATTCCACCTCTCTGCTTTTTTTACTATGTTTTTATAATCACAATGACTGGTGTCATATAAATACACACAGTTATGAACGATATCTATTAATTTTTAAGTTTCGTCTACCGCAGTATATAATATTGCGTACAATTTTAAAATAATAATTTTTGTCCACCGCGATCACTGTAAATTATTACAACTAGACCGCTGCCCTCTGCGGTTGACAGCAGTCCGCAGCGGCAGCCCGCGTTATTTTTAACCACTATGATGCAATCAAAGATAATACAGTGCCGGCGATGGTCAGCCCGCTTTCTGTTTGACCGTACCTTTAGATAATATATTGTGTTATTTTTGAAAAAAAAAATATAATTATTTATACAATAACATTATATTATAAATTACAATGCTCAATAGTTATAATATTTATACTACGGTTAATGTTGTTACATTTATACTTTTTTGTACATGAAAAACTGATTGTGTCCTGTTAGTTTTAACAATAGGGTGAAATTTTCCATTATTAAACCTAAAGATAAGATAATTATCTGTATTGGTACGTGAATTTTTTCAATATTTTAATTTTCAAGTGAGTTACGAATATGTAAAACTTTAAAATCATTCTATCTTGCTTAAAAATAAAATTGTCGAAAAAAAAAGACTTCTTAAGATAATAGAATTAGGTGCAGCTACTGTTGTGGGTAATTTAATGTATTTATTTAAGCAACGATTACTAACGAAAAGAGAGTTTTTTCTGAGCGCAGTTTAGTTGATATTTTGTCAATAATACATATGTCATATTATGGTAAAATAATTATATAGGCATTATATATTTTCTTTAATATTTATTTAATATTGTACCAGTATTCCCATTTTTTTCAATTTTTTACATTTGCTGGGAAATGTACAGTCTAATGTATAGACAATGTATAGGATTTCATATACTCACAAAAACGGGCAATAACATCAGTCGAGGTTGAAAGATCATTCAATCGATATAAATCAGTTTTAAAGCCAAATCAACGTTAACTTGTGTTTTGAAATTAAAAATGCATGTTGTAATTCATTGTAATTAAATTTGTTAATAATAAATTCAGTTTTAAATAATAATTAATTTGTATCAAATTTTTTATGTTACAATAATTTTAGATTCGGAGCGTAGCAAAGGAGCTATTAATTTTACAATGCTGTTTATTTTTACTTCTCCTTTTTCTTTGTTTTTTGTTCTAAACTGTCAACACGTTTTTTTCCTAGTAAACTTTCTCCGGTTTTTACGTGTAGCAACTTTTCTGAAAGCTAGATGGTACTTTAGAAAGGTAATTTTTTGATTTTTGACGCCATTTTTTTAAATAAATGTACCTAAGAGGGAAAAAAACGTAGGAAAACATACAATTTCATGATTTCATTATTTTATAAAAACAAGGAATTATTATTAGGTCCCTTCAAAGTAAGGTTTCATTCTTTCTACGTGAATGGTATCTATTATTTCTCTTTTGTTTTGTATCATCTTATAATTTACGTCTGATATTTTTTTGATTACCGTATGTAGCACTCTGTAATTATGTGCCATTTTTTTTGGTTTTCTCCTATGTTTGAAAGTTTACTTTTATTAGAACTTTTTCTCCCAGGCTGTACGCCACTTCATTATAACTTTTATAGTAAAACTGTTTGTGTTTTTCGTGTTCTTTTTTATTATTTTAAATTCTGAGTGTAACGAAGAATGTATAAGTTTTACTAAGATGTTCATTTTTTCTTTTTTTTCGTTTTTTATACTGTTTACACAAATTCTACTAGAAATCTTACTCAGATAATATATACCCACGGCACCATTTTTTAAAGAGAATGTTGTCCAGATAGTACTTTTGGAGAGTCATTTTTTAATTTTCCATGCCGTTTTCATAATATCTGGGAAAAACCAGGATAAAACGTAAGAAAAATGAGAAATTTACGAAAATAATGCTTTTATTATTTTTCAATTTTGTTATTTGTTTTAATTTAGTTAAACATATTTGTAGAGACTTGAAATTTGGCCAAAAAACTTAAAAAGTTTAAGCCATTTTTAACCTACTTATAATAAAACACCTTCCGTGTTTATAAAATAATAAAATCGTGAAATTGTACGTTTTCCTACGTTTATTCTCACTCGAGTGCTTTTTTTAAAAAAATGGCATCGAAAATCAAAATGACCTTCCTAGATTACCATTTAGACCACTTGAGCTTTCAGAAAAGATGCTACACGTAAAAATCGAAGCAAATTTACTAAGAAAAAAAATTGTTCATAGAATAAAGAGAAAATAAAAAGAAGAAATAAACAGTATTGGAAAACCAATAGCTCCCTATAAAAAAAAATAAAAAATAAAAAAAAAACATGAGTGTTTAAATTAAATTTTTTCTTATAATAATAATTACCTTTAAGGAGATATGCTATACGAGAAAAAATCGTAAAACGAGATATACTCGTATACATTCATAAAAAATAAATAATAATGATAAATTAAATAATACCAAAATGTTTTATTAATATATCCAATATCGTCGAGCGAGGTACCATCTGGATATATGCCCAACGTCTCTCGTAGGTCGAGCTCCAAATTGTTAAAATCCTCCACCATGAAAATCAACATGGTATCTATGAAAATTACTGTTAATAAAAAAAAAAGAAGTTTTATTGCCAGATACAGAAATAAAAACAAAATTACACCTTGACATTTTTTTCATGATAAAATAACAATAATATAAGATTTTAGAATAGCGGTCAATAGCTCAAAACGTACTAACAAGACAAACAAATCATTACGCAAAATGTCTACCCGAAGTCCTGGAAACACGAGCGGTTGATCTTCTAAATAAATATAAGCCAATATCAAAAAAGAAGTTTTCCCCACCATCCACCTTTCTCTCTCAAACGCTGAATAAACAAAAATAAGCAAAATTTCAACAATACAACAAACCACACACATAGGACAATATTATACAAATTTATCTCTCAAAAACACCCCGTGAGAAAAAAAGAAAGGGAAAATAAAACATTCTTCACATAATAAAAGACATTCTGCCTAGTCCATTTCATTCCACAGAGGAATCATTCGACGTAAAAAAAAAACAACCTCAATCGAAACAGAATTACAACCATCGCCAATAATAATGCGAAATCTGCTGTCTTAAAATTTAAATCTAATATGTTTATTCTTATTATAATTAATCGTTTCCATTTAATTGTTATCCTTCTCTAATTTTTGTTCTTACTCTTCTTCCACTTCTCAAAAAAAAAAACTCTAAAACAGATACCTACAGAAATTACATTATAGTTTACTATCATTTAAAAATAAATTTAGCTACGAGTTGCAATGTAAATAAATAATAATATGCAATTTGTTTGTTTATAGAGCAATAAATAAAGATAATCATACGAAAACATAGTCAAGAAAACTATGGATAATAAAAAAATTGTATCTTTCAAAACAGTCTGTGTATACATGGAAAATTAATAATTGCTATAAATAGATATTATTTTACACGACTTTTTTTAACAATTTGCTGTTTACTTTTACATTACATTTGTTGCTAGGAGTATAAAAACAGCATAGTTAAAAAAACTTTTCAAACACCTGTAATAAAGTGAATATAGGGGTACAAAATAATTGAATGTATACCCACTAATCACTTAGATTACCTATTACAGCCTACAACGGTAAGAAACAATTAACATAANTATCCTGAACGGAGTATCCTCAGCAACAATGTTGAGTTTGAATACAGGTATAATTATATTTATTTGTTATATTGATGAAAATAGGTAGTAGGAATGATAAAATAAACATTTGATTAAATTAAAAACGATGATATCGGAATGTTAGAAGCCGAACAACACGCACTCGCGGGAAGACGATAAAGATGACGAGTCGCCAAGGCAGGGTCCGGTGGCCGAATGAATCGAGGAGTCTCTTATGAGAAAGAAAGGGGAAAATAGTGGAGTGGTGTTGTCCGGTTCTCATCATCATGTTTTATTATTATATGAGATATTTAACACATATAATAATACATACTATTTGTATTAATCTAAATTGACTTATAAACTAATAAAATGGTGTCCACTATAATAAAATGTAGTGTAGATAATATTAATTTAATATTATATTATATTATGATATATACCATATTGTATATATCATTACAAAAATTTATTTTTATATTTTATCAACTCAAAAATATTACAATGTTTTAACTATACTTACAGATGGACAAAA